CTCTCTATCGCCTATTTAATGGTTATTTCTTTGCAGACCCAGCTTCCGGCGGCTCGGAAGATTGGGCCAAGGGCAAGGCGCACGTCAAATTCTCGTACTTGTTCGAGTTGAGGCCGGAGGAGCAGGTGTGGGATGGCTTCCTGTTGGCCGAGAATCAGGTAAGTTTGCCGGGTCTTACCTTAACCTACGTTTTCTCAGATCGTCCCCACAGCTCGCGAGACCTGGGAGGCGGTCAAGGTCATCGCCGACTCGACGCTGAGACATCAGGTAGAGTTATTAAAAATTTCCCGACATTTTGAAGACGTTCGGAAAACGTTGGAGTCCATCTACTCTTTCTTCCAGGACTCTGCCGCCCCGGCCGTCCGCCACCACCCCCAGCAACCTGTTCAGCACCGCCCCGCCGCCTTCCGCCCGGCGATTTGCGAGGTACGGGGTTTTTGTTATTTGGAAATTACCGTACTCTACAGGGCGCTGTAATTAGGAAACTAGCGGAATCTACAAAATGTTGTGTATTTTTGGCTCGTCTGCAAAAATCTGTCAATAGGAAAGTGCCGTAATCGGGGGAAATTGCGTAGTTTTGGTCTTGGCGCGTGTCTTAAATATAGCTTTTCGAAAAGCCGCTCCCGGCTGCGCCGACTTCTAGGAGTTCAGCCGTGCTGGCAAACAACTGCACGAGGCTTGTAAGCTCGGCAGGAAGAAGCTGAAACCCTAATACGCGTCTCGAAACGCCGCCAACGCTGCTTCCCCGTCCTCAAGCAGTTCAGTTGCAGATTTATCAAGTCGCAAAAGCTCGCTAGGAGCTGAAAAGCTGCCTAGAGCTTGGCCGACTTGAAGGAGTTCGGCGCGCTACTTCCGTTTTATGAAGCTACCGAAGCTCAGTTCGAGCTGAAAAAGCTGCATAAACCTCGACGAACTTCAAGAAGTTCAGCGCCTGAAATTTGTGAGCATGAAGGCTTAATTGCCGGGCTTAATTTTGGCTTAGAAAACATTTTTATAGGTAGAAAATCCTCAAGAACCACTGCTAGCCTGCCTGCCTGAATTTTTTAAATCTAAAAATACATTTTATTTTCCAGGACAAAGACTCGCTGTGCGCGTCGTGGGCGGCGAGCGGCGCCTGCGACACGTGGCCCATCATGAAGGAGCGCTGCCCGGCGTCGTGTCGGGCCTGCTAAAATTTCTAATTTACGTTTTAAACTTTATCCTAAAATTATAATTTTAAAATATAACAATTAAACTATGTAAGACCCCCAGTGCTCAACGCTATTTTTAGGCTTTTCCCCCTCCTTTCCCCTTCTCCCGATTTCTATTTACAAAAAAAAACGGGTCTGCCTTCCTGTTTTTGTAGTTTGTACTTTGCCTATTTTTGGATTTTGTAGTTTGTATTTTGTAATTTTATCGTTTCTGTTCATCGATTTTTTTCGTGTTGTGATTGATTCTGTAGAGATGGGTGATGCCCAGTATTTTATTTGTGTTTTTTTTCAAAAAAATGCTTAGATTTCGACCTAGAGGCTTGGATTCTGATAATTTTTATACCGCTAGAAAGCCTGGAAAATTTGCAGTTTTTTATCGATTCGATATTTTATCGTTTTCTTGAAATTCTGAATTTTAGTACGTATTTTTAACGCTCAAAATCCGATTTTTACATGCAATTTTCACCGCTTAGGCCGTTTTTGCGAGAAAAATCGACCAAAAGTTGGCAAAATTGGGCGTAAAAGACGCTTTTCAACGTTATAAACTCGCAAATTTAAATATTTATCTTAAAACGCGTTTCCTAAACGTCAAAAAGTGCTGTTACTGTATTTTCACAAATTTTTGGAGTTTTTTTTTACGATGAAAACGAGCAAAAGTGGTGAAAATTGAGCCCAAAAATGTGTACGGTAACTCTAAAACACGCTATAAAATGTATAGCCTCGATTAACCAGTATAATTTAAATCGTAGAAAACTCGCCGTTTTCCGGGCTTTCGAATGATAGAAAAATTATTACGATCCGACGCTTCTACGTCGAGGTATAGGGTTTTTTCCCGAATCGGTGCTTTCGCATTATCGGGGGGCAATTTTTTGGTTCCAATTTTTCAAAAAATCTACTAGCGAAAGTGTTTCTAAAAATGGTTTACACTATTCCTAAAACAAATTTTTATGAAAAATACCAAAAATATCGATTTTTCGACAATAAATTGCCGATTTTCTGTCCAAAATTTCGACTTTAAACGTTTTTAAAGATTTTAGTTAGTTGTTTCCGGTTCAAATATAGCTAAATTTTGCTAAAAACTACTAGGCATTTCTAAACGTATCCGAAAAAAATCGATCCTGCCCCCCGGTAATGCATAAGAACCCCCAAATCCCCCCAAAAAATGCACGCTGACCCTCGGCTTTACAACCCATGGCAGAAAAAACCAACGAGGAAAAGAACAACCAGAAAATTTTATTAGTTTTCTTTTATTAATTTTAGTTCTCCATAACTTCCAATTTTTATACTAAAAAAATTAAACCTGTGACTTCGGCCCGGAGAAATTGTAGCTTTTCCCCCGATTTGGACGGTGCTTCTCCCCCCGTTTTTTTTTGAGCATATCCCGAGCTGAACATTGTGATTTTTGAGCCCGTTTTACATTGTATTTTTTGAATAAAGCGTGAAATTTCATATTTTTATACGTTTTGAAAAGGTTGACACACACGGCCGCCAGGGCTTACAGCTTACAAATCGAGGGTTTTGGCTTTGCTTGGTTTTCCTAACTATTTCTAAGGCTCCAATTTTTGTAATATAAAAGCGGAAACGTTTCTCAATTGCTTTTTTTTATTATTCGCAAACGTAAAAAATTTATCAATTTTTCTTGGAAATCACAAAAAATATTGACTTTTGCGCCAGAATTGGTTCTTTTTCGACCAAAATTTCAAGTAAATTAGTAAATTAGACGGTTTAAACGGTTTTTTAATATTTCTAAAGTAAAAACTTTACAAGTTTTTATTAAAAATACCAAAAATATAGATTTTTCGAGTAAAAATTGCGTTTTTTTCGATAAAATTTCAATTCTTAAATTTTTTATGAGTTTTTCGAGGTTTTTTCTAGCTGAAAGGTAGTAAAAGTTTACTAAAAATACTAATAGAAAACGTTGCTTACGTTACTAGGCATTTCTGGACGCCTTCCCCCCTCTGATAATGCAAAAGAACCGCTCAAATGTAATCTTATAGGCTCAAGTTTCTAAAGCGTTGTTTGGAGCGTATTGTAGCTCAAAACTGGACAGCCTTTCAACGCGTTTTCGTTCTCGACCCCTCTTCTTCCGCTTAAAATTCTGAAGCCGCTTCCGGTTCCGCAACGCTCGGCCGTCCCACGCCTCTTTAGTGCTACCCGGCTCCACCCCCGATCGACAGCTGCCCGGTCCGGCCCAAACAGCTGTAGGCCGGCCCCCCGGTTGCCCGGGTGGTCGTCAGCAACGCGCCGCTCCTATGCACGGGCTGTCGCTGTGCCCAGATTGCACCCCTGTCCGCTGATTCTTCCGCTCGACGCGTCTCGTTGCACGCGACGAGACATCGGCTTGCGGAAACCGCCCCGAACCACGACATCAATAAGCTTTTCCGGAAAGCCGGATGCGCTATTCCTTTCTCTGCGTCTTTACCTAACAATTTGTCGCTTGGAGAAACCATTTCCGGTTTTTCCGGGGTCTTCAAGATTATGAAATCCACCTCATTAGCGCCAGCGGATTGTGGAAAGCCCCGATCCCGTCATTATAAAGACTTTTAGGGGCTGCGGATCCGCTATTTTCTTGCTTACCCCTTTATCTAACTAGGAATAGCTTGTAGAAGCCATTTCGGGGTTTCACGGGGTCCTGAAGCTTATGAAAACGCTACGGTTATAATCAACCAGGCCTGATTTCTGTTATCCTTTCTTCCTTTCTATGATGGGCTATATGTCATCGTGATCTTCTACCGGAAGCCGAGAGGAAAACTGAAAAAGGGGACCTAGTTTTGCCCGAATTTCCCCCAAATCTCCTTTCACATCCCCGAACGTTGCGAAAGCGCAACGCTGATAACCAGCTATACCGAATTTCCATTATCTCTTATCTTCTTTTTTCTATAATAAGCCAGATGTCCTCCTATCTTCTGGCAGCGTATAGATCAAGCATTATCGAGCCGGCTTACCCTTAGTGGGTTACGCTGTCGACATTTCCCGATCGATATGTCTGCAACCAGGCACGTGCGGCTGTCGACTGCAACCCATTTCCCTGCCCAGACGTCCCGAATTGGCGTTTCCTTTCACCTGCAATAAAAATATAGAATCCTCTTATTACTCTTACCTTATGAAATAGAAAATCGAAAGCCGATAAGCTGTTTTTCCTTGCAACGCGCGATAGCGGCTTTAACTTGCTTCTCGTTTGTTATATTGATTTTTCTAGCGTTTTTCTGCTATAAAAAGTGAAATTTTTGATCCGGAATAAAACTAGATACTCCTCTTATTAGTATTTCTTGATTATATAGAAAGCCAAAAGTAGATCAGCTGTTTTTCCCTTGCGAAGTGGCGCGATCAACGATTTTGACTTGCTTCTAGTTTGTTATATTGTTTTTTGAAACGTTTTTCGACTATAAAAGGGCAACTTTCTGGCGCTGCAAAGCGCCAAGCATCTTTTTTTAATGCCTTTTATCTAGCTACGTTTTCTTTTACTAATTTCTATAACTTTTATGACCTTAAAATTGTAATCTTACTATAGTAAATATTGCTTTCTTTTCTTTTTGTTTGTTTTCAATTCCTGCCCTTCCCATCTAAATGGTGTAATTACCGATCTTTTCCAGGCGCATCCGATGATGCAGCGGCACGCTCCGCGTTTGCTGGCTCCGCAGCGCCGTCCGGACGACCCATCCGGCGCTCAAACCCAGGGCAAGAAGTACGAACTCGTCTCCCGGCAAACCACCAAGGTCACTGCCCTCTCCACGAAATTGGAATGGAAGATTAGCGAGGTATCCGGGTTTCTCCAGTTTCTTTAACTCGTTTTTCCAGTTCGAGCGACTGATGAAGCTATACAAGAACGGCGACAACCTCATCAGCAAGACGTTCGGCTGCCCCGAGGTTTGAAAACTTTTTACTTACGATTATTTTTGTTTTCCAGGCGCCGAGCGTCATCTGGGAGCTGCACGTGTACCCGAACGGCAAGCGCGAGGAGGACGCGAGCAACGTCTCCTTCTTCCTGCGACAAGTCGGACTCTCGGTACGCCTTTTTCAGGTGTTTTTGAAGTAAAAGAACAAATTTTGAAGAAGGAAAACCTTTTTAAACTCTGAAAACTCTTCGAACATACATTTTGTTCATTTTGTTTGCAAAAATAGATTTTCTTTGTCCTAAAATATACATTTGAAATAGGACTAACGAGGTTTCTGATTCTTACGCATTATAGCAGCTGTTTTTGCTATTCCTAAACGTAAAAAAACTGCAAATTTTGATTAAATAATCCAAAAAATACATTGTTTGACCAAAAATGGCTCTTTTTAACTAAAGTTTTGACTTTTTTTGAAAGTTTTAGACAGTTTTTTGTTGAAATATAGCGGTATTTAGGCGTATAATGTAGAATTTAGCTTTACGCCGCCTGAAAGCATATCTCATCTTCTTTTTTAGCGCAACGACAAGCCTCTGATGACCGAATTCCAAATCTACGCGGTCGACAGCTTCAACCAGCGGGTCAGTGTCTGCCGCGACACCAAGGACTTCACGCATCAACAAGGACGGGGCAAATTCCAGGTATGAAAAAGTTTTTAAATCTAACTTTTTTTTGTTTAGGTGACCCGCGACAAGCTGATCGCGGCCCTGCGACACGACGGCACGCTCGTGCTGTTCTGTGAGCTCGAGTATCTACTGCCCGAGCAGGGCATCGAGACGGAGGTCGAGGGCACCGTCGACGACCAAAAGAAGCAGGAGGAGTTCTTCATCCGCGAGGCCAACTACGAGATGTGGACGAACAAGCGATTCACGGATTGTTGCATCAAGGTATAGATTTCGTTTCTTTAGCGCTTATTTTGGATTGATACTTTCGCAGTATCGGGGGGTTTTAGGCCAATTTTTGTTCTATAAATAGCGGGAATGTTTATAAACTTTTTTTAGTATTCGAAAACGTAAAAACTTTACTAATTTTGCTTGGAAATCACAAAAAAATATGTTTTTGCACCAGATAGGTTGCTTTTCGAACGACATTTCAAGTATTTTTTTCTAGCTATTCCTATGCGTAAATATTACACAAATTTTCATTTAAAAAGCATGCAAAACAAGATCGATAAGCAAAATCTCAAAAATTTTCCGTTTTTAGATAATTTTTTGCCTGAAATGCTGTTACATTTTACTAAACGCTATTAAGTACTCAGGGCAATTTCGGGGCTTATAGGAAAAAGTTTGTCTCCCCCGTTATTGCGAAAGAACTCCGCGTTTAAAATAAATTTAAGGTTTTTCGGTCGTTTGTATTTTATTCCCACTTCTCATTTCAGGTCGGTCACACGGAAATCGACTGCCATCGCTGCATCCTGGCGCAACAATCTGAAGTGTTCCGATCGATGTTCCAGGTATGAACATTTGCTTTTTACTTAGGTTTAGTTTTAATATTTCTAATATTTTAAATTTTATTATTTCGAAAGTTTTAATTCGTATTGTTGCTAATCTCCCCCGTTTAGGAGGAATTCCGCGAGGCCCGCGAAGGTGTCATCGAGATCCTCGACTGCAAGCCGGGCGTGGTCAAGAAGCTGCTCGAGTTCATGTACACCGGCTCGTTCGGCGCCTCGCTGTTCGACGCGACGTGCACCGTCGAGGAGCTGCTCGCCATCGCCGACAAGTACGCCGTGCTGCGGCTGAAGGAACAGTGCGAGTTGTGAGTTTTGGAGCTTGTGCAATATCGGGGGAGGGTCTTGAAATTGTGAAATATCTTCGAAAAATGGGGTCTATTTTTACCTTTTGGCAGTATTCGATTTACCTTGCCTTTTCAGCATGCTCTCGAAGGAGTTGAACGTGAAGAACTTCTCCCAGCTGGCGAGCTTCGCCGATCTCTACTCGGCCGAGCTGTTGAAGAGGGCCTGCACGCGGTTCCTCGTCGGCCACCACAAGACGGTGATGCGCAGCCCGGATTGGAGGGAGCTGAAGAAGACCAACCCCGGCCTCGCCAACGAGCTGCTCGAATCGGTTCGTAATTTTAGAAGCTTTTAGTCGGCTTTTTTTATAAGTTAGTTAGCTTTTGTTGTTAGCTATTTTCTAGTTTTTCTGGCATTTAATTTAATTTTGAAATTTCTAATTTTTGCTTTTTAGGCGCTCAACGTCGGCGAGCCGTTGGGGAACAGCATGGACGAGCTGGACGACAGCAACGACGAGATCGAGCCGCCGCCCAGGAAGCGTCTGCGAAGGTATTGATTTTTTTAATAATTATTGAAATCTAGTTTTTGAAAGGTTTTTCGCATTATCGGGGGCGGGGGGCCAAATTTTTTCTATGCGTCTGGAAACGCCTATTGACGTGTTAGCAAGTGTTTTAATGGTGTTTTTAGCAAAATTTAGCGGGTTTGAAGTGGAAAACAATAAAAAGAAACTTAGAAAATGTTTTGATTGAAATTTTGGTAGAAAAATCTGCCTTTTTGTTTTTTATAGAAACTCGTAAAGTTTTTACTTTTAGTGCTTGTAAACATTTTCTGAGGTTATACTTATAAAAAAGGCCCCCTCCGATAACGCAAAAGAACCTTTTAATCCAGTTTTTAATTTTGTTGCCATTTAATCCCGTATTTTCAGATTTGGCAACAACGCACCGGGGCAAGGCGACTCGTCCGCCTCGCAATAGGCTCGGTCAACAACAACAGCCAAGAAGCATCTCTCCTCCACATCCACCGGCCTTTCCACAACAAATCGGGTATGCTGCGGTCATTTTCTCCCCATTTTGACCGGAATCTATTTCTGACTTCCCCTCGTTGTTGCCCCCTCTTTTTCGATATATTGTAGACTCCTTCTCGAAAGACTCGTTGCTGCTGCTGCTCCCCGCGCATTGTGATCAGTTTAATTATGCACTCGTGAGTGTTGCGTCAAATTATTCCCTTTCCCCCTTGCCCCCACCCCCAAATCTCTATAAACGCTAGTTGTTTTCGAATCCGGGAACGCTTCAACTCGCCGATTTTTATTTCGCGTATTTTGCATTTGGGTGTTTTCATTTTGAAAGAGAAATTTAGACAAAATTCAGAAAATCGGTAATTTCATTTTTAGATAAACAACGAGATTTTTGATGAAAAACTTGAAACGCTACGCATATAGGCGCGGCGTCGGAATAACGGTCTAATACAAATTCAGCGCGTAAAAACAGGATGAAGGAAAATAAGGGTTTTTAAATCCATTTTTCAGAAAATTAGCTTATTAAAACGCTGTATTGCACGCTATTTCGACGTCGCGTCCGCATGCGTAGCCTCTAAAATTAGACAAAATTAAATTTTTGATGAAGTTAATTTGGAATCAAACGTAGGCAAAATAAAAATAGGCGAGTTGAAGCGTAATCTTTGAAACGACCCATCTTTCCCTTTCCCCCGCACTCGGGCCCTCCATTTTCCAGCTAGTCTTTCATAATATATATACACACACGTAAAATCCGGTTGCCCCGAATTTTCGCCAGAAAATTTGGCCCAAAAAGTCTAGTGCAAAAATGTGTTGTTCCCCGCAGTCTCTCCCAGTAGTAGTAAGCATTCGCCATCTCTCTCCCTCGCTCTATAGTGTCCCTCTCCAGACCCATCCTCCCCTCGTTTGTCTCTCTCCCTAATGTTCAGTCGCCTTTTAAATTTTAATAAATACACCTATTCTTACGACGTTCGACTTGTACGCACGCAAAAGCGCACTGCCGATTCGGCCTTGGTTTATGTGAATAACGGAAAGTTTAGGGTTTGCAAGGGATTTTTTTATGATATATTTAGTTTCCTAGGCTTTCCCCCGACTTACCCGACGGCTAGAAAACGAAGCGACTGAAGCTTGGCCTAGTTAATTGGAAGCTAAGCTAGCAACCACTAGGCCTAGACTAAATCGAAGCTGTTTTATTTGGAATGACGCCTTTTAGAAGCTCAAAAACTAGTTTTCTAAACTTGGGATACCGAACCGTTCCTTTTAGAGCTAAGGGTAAGCCTATACATGAGATAGGTCTAGCTTAGCTTGTAATAAATCAAAGCTCAGGCTTAACTTCGCCGTTGTGCTCGCCAGGATCCGAAATATCAAATCTACGCTAATTTTCGAGCTTCCGGGGTTAGATAGCAAGCTTAAAGGGCTGTATTGAACTTCTAGGATCTGCGCAGATGACCAATGCGTTGGTCACGGCGCGTTTTTCTTGGTGAACCTAGCTTTCGGCGTTTTTCGATAATTTTTAGAGCCCGGACCCTTGCGTGTTTTTCTGGCAAGCCGACCTTGCGTGAATTGGCCGGGCCGTTAGCAAGGGAATGCAGATGCGAGCAGAGGGTTGAGAAGCAAGCCACGATGGATCATGACCATGAAGAGGGACCAGGCGGCAAAGCGGCTCGTCAACAAAACCCAACCCTCCCGCCGCCTCAAGGATGTTTATGGATCGGCGACGCTGCACATTTGGAATGGGTTCTAGGTTTGAGCTTTGGTTGCTTTACGTTTAGTTTTCCCAGCCGTATCGCGGAATATATGCGAAAACCTGGCTTTTATTTACGAGCGCGTTTTGCGTGTTTTTCAGCGTTTGTTGCGCGTATATATCAAGCCTATAGAAAATTTTTAGATGGCTCTGCGTTGATTTTTCTTCTTAATGACGTTTTTAGGGGCGCGTTTTGCAGGATTTTGCAGGAATTTTTAGCTTTATAAAGCCAAAAAGGATATATTTTGTTAGCTAGAGGATTTATTTTCCGGCTAACTTCGTCGCTTTTAGATCCAGACGCGTTTTCCATGTTTTTTAGCGTTTTTTCGCGCCTAGATATCCGGCCTAAAAAGAATATTTATAGATGGCTAGACGTTGTCTTTACTTGCTAGCCGCGTTGTTTTTGTAGTTACGAACGCGTTTTCCATGTTTTTTAAGCTTTTTTCGTGTAGATTCTGAGCCTAAAAGATGATAGGAGATCCTTTTTTAATTCTCATATTACTTTTCTTTCTTATTAGATAGGTGGGCTTGATTTTTCTTGTTAGCGGCGTTGTTTTCAGATCAGAACGAGTTTTGCGTATTTTTAGCGTTTGTTTTAGCGAGATTTTTGGATTGTTAGATTGTGCGGTTTCTGGTTAACTTAGTTTTTTGGATAGAAACGCATCTTGTATGTTTTCAACGTGGTTTGCGTGTGGATATTTGGCCTACAAGGATATTTTGAGATCGCTAACGTTGTTTTAATTAAGGGCCCGTTTTCTTTCCTGTGCCCGTTGGATCCTCTATTCAATGACGTTAACAGAATGTCGACAAAAGATGGTAAATCGCGAAGACTAGCTCACCAGTCGTTTTCTTGGGGCTGCCCATCTCCTTTTAGCTAGAATCTTGTTTATCTGTTCTCTTTCTATATATCTATCGTTTCTCTGGGTGCGGATGACTCATCGCAAGCCGGTAGTTTTTAGCTCTTTTCCTTGCGCTTTTCTTTTGGTGCTTTTTATAGCTGCTCCTTTCTCAATTTCCCGACGAAAAGAAGATCTGGAAAACCTCTGTCATTTCCTTACAGGCATCACCAACGTTCTATCCTTCTTTCGTCATTTTCAGGTATCTCAATTTCCCCACCGTCGCCCCATTTCTAGGTGCAATGTTGGGCAAACATGCTCGTTTTTCGTTGCCCAGCAATTGTGTTGAGTATTTCAACGGCCGGCCCGCTTTCCAGGAACCTTTTCAAAGGAACGCGATGACTCGGGCTGAATTCGTTAGATTTTTCTACGGTCCTTGGAACGTTCCATTTATTGCCCATTCACCTTTTTAGGTCTTGAAAAGTATTAAAAACAATTTTTGTTTGCCATCATTTTGGATTTTTTCAATTTTATTAAAAATGCGGTGCTTTTCTTTTACCGGGGGGGTTCTTATTGTCCTTAGGCACCGGGCTAGCAGAGATGGTTTAGGAAATGAGAAGGCTGGCAGGGTTTCTTTAAGGTAGGCACGCTAGCAGAGCTTCTTTCGGAAAGGGCAGGCTAACAGCGATTCTTTAGGAGGGGTAGGCTAGCATGGATTATTTAGGAAAGGGCGTAAAGCTTTACAAGGTACGCACAAAATTCAATCTTTAAAATATTAGCTTTTTTTGGTCAAAATGTATGAAAATACACCAAAAATAATAGTTTGAATTCTCAGATTTTAAGCAGTTTTCTATATTTGCCTAACAATAAAGACTTATTGAAAAAAACACTATAAAACGCATAGTTTAATTAGCTTTTGCAGTTTACCATCTCTAGGCCTTTCCTGCTTCTTTTCTTTATTTCCTCTGTTTTTCTTGGTTTTTGCTGCTCTTTGCACATTTTTCGCTTTCCATTTCCTTCGCTTTTCTACGAGGAAAATCCAATTTTTTTTGTTTTTCAGAAAATGCCGTTGATCCACGTGGAGGACGACGCCCACTTCAAGAAGATTCTCGCCGACAACGCTGACGGGGTCGTCATCATCGACTTCACCGCCTCATGGTACGCTTTGCCATTCGGTTCGATAAATGAGGACGCTTTTGCATTATCGGGGGGCATTTTTTCTTAGGATCCAATTTTCCTAATGTAAATAGCGGAAGTGTTTCTAATTTTTTCGAATATTTCTGAACGTAAAACTTAACAAATTTTTACTAAAAAAAGTACAAAAGTAGATGTTTTTGACTAATATTCGACTAAAAAGGAGTTTCTGATTATTTTCCACTTGAAATAAAAGAGATTTTTTAATGTTGCTAAAAGGACCATGAAAATATTCAAGGGCTGCCGACGGCATGTGTCGTCCCCCCCCATCAACAAATTGGCAAGTAGCCAGGGCAGGGAGCGCGCTGGGGGAGGGCGCAGAGACATTTTCTTTACAGCGCGTAACCGTATGCCTATGCCGTCGGCATCCCTTTAACTATGAAGTGACTAGGAAATTCTGGACATAGGCAAAAAGTTGGTCCCCCCGATAACGCGTAAGTACCAAAATTGAATTATTATTTTTGTGTTCTAATCAAATCCTTAATATTGCTAATTCCAATCCCTCGTTTCCAGGTGCGGCCCGTGCAAGATGATCAGCCCCGTCTTCGAGGAACTGGCCGAGCAGCACCCCAATGTGCCCTTCTTGAAGGTCGATGTCGACGAGTGCACCGGTAAACTTTATTTTTAATTTTGTATATATTTTCTTTAGAAGCGGCCGGTGACGTGAACGCGATGCCCACCTTCCGCGTCATCAAGAATGGGTTCGTTTTTCTTATTGAAGTTAGACCTTTTAAAATTACTAAATTACTTGGCACTTAATTCTTTTTATTAGCTGCATTTTTAGGCTTTTGACTTGATATTTTGAAAAGATATTTTACTTGGTTGACTGTGAAAAGATATGGAAATAAACCTAAAGTTTTATAAAGATATAGGATACTATAAAATTCTACTATATTTTTATAAATATGTTTAAAAGCATGCTTTTGGTATATTTCTGATTTTTCTCAAAGTCTTCCCTGGTTTTTGTCGTTTTTTAAAATAAATGAACATTTTTAAAAGATATTATTAAAATCCTAAATTTTCTAAATCCGTTTTTTTGCAGAAAGAAGGTCAAGGAGTTCAGCGGCGCCAACGCGGACGAGCTGAAGGCCATGGTGCATGCCCACGTCGCGTAGAAGACCAGCAAAATCAGTAATTCCTGTTTTTTTTCTAAAAGATTAAATGGGCGTGTGTGAAAATCGTAGATTCTTTTTGATTTTACCAATTTAAAAAGGTCAAATTTGTCTAATTTTACAAAAATTAAATTAAACCTTTTGGAATTTTCACTTCTTTTTGCTAGACGAATTTGAAAAATAGTAGCTGTCACATGCCCATTTAATATTTGCTAATATCTTCCCCTCCCCTTATAAGGAAATTGTTGAATTTTGTAATTTTTAATTTTCTAAATTGGCAATTTCTTAATTTTGTAATGGGCGTACGTTATACGTAGCATGTTACGTGTGATTTTATGAATTTTTGAAGCTAAAAATAAAATATTGGGTTTCTACGAGTACTGTGTCTGTCTGTATCTATGTCTGTGTATATTTTTCTCTCTCTCACTCTCTCTCCCTCTCTCTTTCTCTTGCTCTCACACTCTCTAGCTTATTTTTTCCGACGCTATGCTGATGAGGGAGAAGCTTTTGAAGTTTTTGAAGCTAACTTGCCGCAGTCGTCAATCCTGTAAAATTTACTATTTTGTAAGAAGCGGAACTGAAAATGAAGCCGAAGATGAAGCCCAAAAAACGGTCGAAATGCAAAGAACAAACGGAAAAAATCGCCGACAAAAATAACCACAAAATTGGGTGACTAAACCGGGCTGCCGCCGCGCTTTTTCACATTTCCCCACTCGCCACCCGCCTGGCCCACCCCCAGGACGTATAGGCCAAGCCAATTTCCCCTGATTTGTCACTCGTTCGGTTTTTGGCCGTTCGTGCTGACCCGGTGGCTCCGTACAGCCAACTTTTATCAGTGCGGGGAAAGCTTCGCCTTCTCCCCGCTGAACTGCGCGAAAGGCTTCGGCTTTTCCTGCAAAGCTCAGCCTCTCTCCTGAACTGCTCGAAGATCTCGGTTTTCGGCTTTTCTAGTGAAGCTGAATTGGCTAGTATTTTACTATGCCAAAAGTGAGGGCAGGCCATTAATGCGGCGCCCTCCGACACAGCCTTGGCCAACCTCTCGCCAAAAATGGCTGATTTTCCAAATTTTTGAAGTGCGGCTCCGGCCGAGGATTTTCGAGGTTTTTTAATCAAACTTAACCTTGTTGCGGCCAGTGTCTTTTGAGTGTTCTTTGATCAACACCGACTCGCCACCCGGCTGGACCACTCTGAAACTATACCTCGGCAAAAAACGCAGGGTTGGTGGTTGGGGAGGATGGTGGACTTACTATTCCATTATTTTGAGATACTTTTTGAATAGAATATAGAATGAATTATTCTATAGTATAAATAGAATAGTATTAATGATACTCCTCTTCTATTATTCATAGTCTTCAGAAGACTATCTCATCAAAAATTGAGAATTTACTAAATTCTAAACTTCTCTCCTGAATTTCAAATTCAGAAGAAAGTTAGAAAGAAATTCATATGTAGTTTCAAAAAGTTAAAGTCCAGGATCAACCCGAAACTCTAATTTTGAAACATGGTGGTCCCGTTTCTCCGAAGAGAAACGGTGACGTGCCTCTGAGAATCAGAGGTTCAAACCCCACGAGGGGTCTGATGGGGGAGGCAAAAATGCCATCCCCCAACTAACGCGCGTTTTCCCAGGAAGGTATCTCCTGACAGTGGGCCAGATGGGAGGCGAGTGGGTGACGATCACGAAGCATGCAAAGAACACTCAAAGACCAGGGTTTTTAGCGAGCAACAACATGAGTATTTTTAGCGCTTTTTGTGCTAGTTTCTCGCCAATTTATCTATATTTATTTCTATACAAAATCACAACATAAAAATGGGAATTTTATGGTTTCTAAGGCAGCAAAAGGAGAGAAGAGACCGGAGGGCGGAATGTAACGGAAACGCTTGAAAGAGCTTTCGAAGAAGTGAGGGAGAGTGAGCGGAGGAAAAAAGATACTTTTGAAAAGAAGAATTTAAGAATTTAAATATATCACAGTTTCCAGGTTATCAAACATTATGTAAAAAAGAATTTAGAGTAGAAGATTAGAAAAAAGAATTTAAAGGTATCGAAAATGTATCAAAATCACAAGCTACAGGCTACAAAACCTTACAAAAACGTACAGATCACTTGAATGGAGGCTGAACTGCTAGAAGTCGTCGGGGTCGATGTCTATTCCCTTCTCCTATCCTTCCACGAGCTGCCGTCGAGCGGGATCACCTCCACCCAGTCGTCGCACACCGATCGTTTCGCCTGAAAAAAGGAAATAAAATAGGTGTAGAAGCTTCAAAAAGGAATTAAATTAAAATAAATTGCAGAAAAATAATTCATTCCTAATAGGAAATCACAGCGACTTTACAAATCTTGGTAAAAAATACCTAAAATGTCGATTTTCGACGAAAGTTTCCAACCAAAATTTTGTTCGAAGCCTTTCATTATGGAAACTAGTTTAATTTACTGAAAACTATCAAAAAAAAACAGATCCAGATCCAAAGTTTTAATTACAGCTCAAATAACGTTGTAAAAATAATTTTGTCGCAATTTTATTTATCCGAAAATCATTCAATTTTGCGAAATATACTTTTGTCGAAATCTCATTTTGGCTTTTTCGTATTATTCATATCAAACATTGACACCAAATTAAAATTTCGGCATTCTGAAATTTCGTTATTACGGAATTTCGGCATTCTGATAGCAAATTTAACCTTCACAGTACCTTAAATGTTTAAAATATTAAAGCCTAAACCCACATCATCCTGCACAATCCCGCTGCAAACAATCGCCGCCCCGTCGTCCTTGATGCAGAAGCCATTCGCGAGATAGGCATCAATCTGGGCGGCCAATCCCTTGTACTCGCCGCTCTTGTCAAACTTCAAGAAACGCCCCGTCTTGTCCACCAGGATGATGTCGTCGTTGTGCCTGAAGATGTACGCGTTTTCGAAAATAGAAAACAGACGTTACCTTTGAATTTTTCGGGGGAAAAATATCTCCGAGTCGTTCTTGCCCTCGCAGGAGACCTTCTTGACGACGGCGCCCGTCTCGGTGTTGATCCACTTGAGGCATTGTCTGCACAAATAAAGTTTACAGATATTTTCGGAGAGTAAAATGCTAGAAAAATTATTTTAGACTTTTTCTAGCCTAGAAAAATCGTCAAATCGCGATTATGGTTCTCTGGCATTAGCGGGGGTGGGGGGTTTTCCGTTTTGGGGCGAAAAATCCCTATTTTTTTTTTCTACGTTTTCATCAAAATTTGTAAGATTTTGACGTTGAGAAATAGCAAAAACCTTTAGAAACACCTCCCGACTTAAATTGGAAAAGGACCCCCCCCGATAATGCAAAAGAACCGGAAGAAAAAGAACGAAACCCACTTGCTGTACACGTTGACGGGGACCTTGGCGCAGGCGCTGATCAGCAGCCCATCGTCGTAGGCGCACAGGGCTTGGAATGCCATGTCGAAGTCGGCGCACAGCTCGTCCCAGCCGAGCGGAGCGTCGAACGATGCCCTAAAAAACGTTTTACAAAAACTTGTAAAAATTATAGATGTCGTTAATTACAAAAAAAAGTAATATTTAAGCGTATTAGCGTACAAAAATCTTGCTTACTTGTAAATACAGTACTCCTCGCCGCGCGGCTGCTTGCTGATGTACATCGTGCCGTCGGGGGACACGGCCAGGCTCTGCACGAGGCCGTCGATGAACTGCTCGTGCTTCTGGTTGCCCTGGAAATGACGAAATTAAACAAAAAAACACTTCCGGTTTATAGTTAAAAACGGGGGGGGGCGCTTCCGGTTTATAGATTATAAAAAAATACAATTTTCTTGCTCCCCCCGATAATGCAAAAAAACCCCGTGTCTTTTATAAACCGTCTAGCAAAGTCCTAGAAAAAAACTATAAGAAAAATTCACCTCCAAATCGAAAAACCTCAGCTCCGTCATCTTGTCGTTGTCGTCGGCGGTGGTGTGGATGATTGTGTCGTTGTGGATGGCGACTTGTGGATATGCGGCCTGTTTCTTCGGGAATGGGTTCTTCCGGGCCCACAGTAGATGCCGCTTCTTGCCGCAGATCTTGAACAGGCCGCCTGGAAAAAAGCTAATAAAATGGGTTCTTTTGCGTTATCGGGGGGGTGGGATTTTCCATATAAGTCCGGAAAGGTCTAACAACGCAATAGTAGTTTTAATAGTGTTTTTAGTTAAATTAGACTATACACAAAGCAAAAAACAACTTTTGAAAAAGGCAGAAAAAATTTTTAGTGGAACTTTTCGTCGCAAAAATCGATATTCTTGTATTTTTAATGCAATTTTGTATAGTTCTCGCGAAAAAAATGCATCACCTTTTTGCTAAGGTTTCTGAGCAAAAAAAAAACCCTAATTACAGCTAAAGAGCGGACAGAAAAAAGCCTAGCTAACTTTAAAAATGTCTTCGTAAAGTTTCTAGGGTAAAAATCGTCATTTTCTATTTTCAAGTCAATAAAACCCTCGACAAACCTTTGCTGGCCACCCACAAGTCGCCGTTCCCGTCGTAGACGACGTTGTACGGGACCGTGCACCTAAAAATCGAGTTTTCAAGCCCCAAAAAATGTTTTTACCCCAACGGCGTCAGGTGGACAAGCATCTCGTCGAAGCGCTGGTAGTCGGACGTGTCGGAGAGGGGCTGAAAAAGATGGAAATTATTCGATTTACAAAAACTAAAGTTCAGAACTAAAAAAATACCTGTGTGCAGCCCTGCTCCGGCAGCTTGGGCACGTCTTCGGGGCGGATGGGCATTGATACCTGTAAAAAACGAGATTAGGACCGTGTAGCTTTAAATATAAAAATAGATATTGAAAAGAAAACAGTTAAAACATCTAAAAACCTCAAAAACAAGAATCAAAACAATCGATTACGCCATGGAAAGGAGACCAAGGACTGGGCTGGCTTTTTGCCAGGTGGGTGGGGTACGGTGGCGGGGGCGCGGCATAGCAAGGAGGCCGGGGAGGACACACAAAATTTTCAAAGTTAAAACAATTAAAAATAGTTTAAATTAAGCCAAAAAATGCAAAACCTACTAGAATAGACTCGGGACATGCTAGTCTTCAATTTTGACGCCAAAATTAGCCTAAATAAGCCGGAAAGTCGATAAAAATTAAAACAAAAGCGAAAATCAAGCTAAAAATCTACAAAACTAATTGAAGCCATTAAAAATTAATTAAAATATATTCTTAAACTAGCTAGCCGGTGATTTTTGAAGCCGAAAGGCACCATAAAATAGCGTGGAAAAGCCTAAATCAGCCAAAAAAAACCCGTAGAAAATCAGAATTAAACCCAAAATTTGCAAATCTAATTAGAATGATTTACAAAACGAATTAGAATACGCTTGAATTAGCTAGCTAATAATTTTCAATCCGGAAATGACCCCAAATTAGCGTGAAAAGGCTCAAATAAAAGAGAAAATTCTCGGCAAAATTTTTACTCAAACTTCCCCGACAAGCTCGCCCCCCGCCAGCCGCCACCAGCAGCCGCGCCGCGATGCCGCCGAAGAAGGAAGAGAAGAAGTCGGGCGAGAAGAAGGACAACAAGAAGGCCAAGACACCCACCGGCGGCGGCCAGAAGTCCACCCCGCCCGCCAAGGTCCAGGCGCCCAAGAAGGAGAAAGAGGAGGAGAAGGAAGGAGGTCCAGTTTTTTTTTAACTTTTAAAAATAAACTTTGACTAAAACTAGTCACTACTTTTTATAGCTTTAGCTTTAGTTTAATTTTATGTACTTAGTTAAGTTTTATTTTGGGTTGAAATTTTTAAAATCATTCTAAAGCCAAAATCTAACTTTGCTTAGGTTTTGCCCCGCTTTATCGAAGATTTTTAACCAACTTTTTAAGGCTTTTAAAGTTTCACTGTTAAGCTGGCTTGATACTAAAACTTTAAAAACGGTTTTTCGGCCTAATAAGCGAATTCTGGTTCTTGTGCATCATTGGGGGGGGGATAAACGTTTTCTAAGGATCCAATTCTTCTAAACTGAATCGAAGAGTGTTTCTAAACTTTTTTATTACTCTTAAATGTAAGAATTTTAACAAATTTTGATATAACAATACAGAAAAATACGGTTCGACCAAAATTCAAGTCTTTAAAACTGTTTTCCCACTTCAAATAGCGTTAAATTATGGTGATTTTACGAAAAACTACCGGAATTATAGGAAACCCCCCCCCCGATAATGCCAAAGTACCGAACGTCAACTGGAGCGCCTTGTAGTCCAGCTACGCCGGCGTAAAGGCTGCCTTAAGCCTAATCCAAAGTTTAAAAATTTATCTAAATTTAATTTTATCTAAAATTCTCTAGATTTACATAACATTTTTCTATTTATTACTTATTCAATGGCATTGTTTAGACTACGAGATGCTGTACCCGACGTAACAGGCCCCAAGACGTACGTCCGGGTCAACAACAACAACAACTCCTCACACACACACAGGATGCTCTACAAATGCTCTACCGTCTCTACACGTGTCAACCACTAGTCCAATAACGACACACACTACCTTCCGTTCTCTCTCCTCCTTTTGTAAAGCGCTGAAATGTACCGCGTTTTTAATTTCGGGTTTTTCGTTGGGGGGCCCCTGTGGCGGGTGGCCCGGAATAAATGATTCGCACTCAACGGGGGGAGCATGAGATGAGCATGAGCTGCCGTTGCTGCTACAGAGAAGCCGTTTCCGGTTGATGAGATCAAAGAAAAAGGAAAAAAGCGATTTTTGAGGCGGAAACGGCTTCCGGATGAAACGGACTACAGAGTACACCAATGAACGCCTGCCGTTCACTGTATCCGCGCGGAATCGAACCAAAAATGGTTTGCGCAGAAACCAGCTTCCGGTCCATTTTGTTCCGGTTAAAAACTGGGGCTACAGAATACAACTGTGAACGCCTACCGCCATTTGTATACGCGCGGAATCGCACAGAAAACGTTTATGGGCGGAAACCGTTTCCTTGAAGCCTTTTTACCGGAAACGGCTGGTATCCGGTCAAAAACTGGCTACAGAAGACACCAGTGAACACCTGCCGTCATCTGTATTAGCGCCGAACCCAACAGAAAACGGTTTTTTAAGCGGAAACCACTTCTTTGAAGCCTTTTTAACGGAAACCGCTGGCGTCCGGTTAAAACTGACTACAGAATACACCAGTGCAACCCTGCCGTCATCTGTATTCGCGCGGAATCCGAGAAAAATTGAAAACTTTGCCAACCCATTTTCAAACGTTTCAAAGAGAAGTCCTTTTCCGGTTCTTAAAATTATCGAGAAAAATGGGGAAGAAGCTGATTTTCGAAGCGGAAACCGGTTCCGGTCAAAAACGGGCTACAGATTACACCAATGAACGCGTGCCGTTCACTGTATCAGCGCGGAATCGAAAAGCCTCCGTTTTTCGCAACCTTAGAATTTGTCCGTCTTTTCGATTTCCACGTATTTAGACGTAGTTTTGATTAAAGAATTATGGCAAAAAGTCTTATTATTATTATTATTATTATTATTATGTGGGTAACCTCCGCTCGGCCGCCAATCAATCGCCCTCCTCGAAGACGTTGTCCCGGTCCTCGTGGTCGACCATGCTCTCCAGGTCCGATTCCCCAATGTACGACGAGGAATCTAAACCGAAAATATTGTTTTTAATGCAATTAAATTACTGAATTTTATGGAAAACTAACCGGAAAATAGCTCGTCGCGTAGGCCAGCGTATACCGGCGAGGGGTACAGCCGCTTCTGGTCGTCTTCTCCTAAAATAAAGGTATTTTATCGCGTTTTAGGTGATTTTATTATAGAAAACGGCCTGTCACAACGTTTCGTAGCTTTAAAAAAACTTTTTTTAAGCTTGTTTTTGCACTTAAAAAGCCAAGAAACCCAGTTTTTCTCCAAAAAGCAACCGAAACTGGTTTTAAGATGCAATTTTCTAGCCAAAAAAGCTTTTATGCTTTTTTACGTTTTGCTAATGATTTTCTTGTACTAAAATATAACTAGAATACCTAGCTTTTTTAACCAAAACCTAATCTAAAATCGATTTTACGATCTGAAAGCCCAGTAGAAAAAGTTTTTCGGCTAAAAAGCTACTTTTATCACGTTTTATGATTTTCAATTGGTTTTCCAGTACGAAAATAGAAACATAAATACCTTTTTATGAAGCTAAAACCTTACGCAATCGTTTCTGCAGCTCCTCGGTGGCCTTCAACCCCTTCGGCATGGCCTCGGCGACGACGCGCAGCATCCGGGGCATCGAGGACGCTGAAAACAACTTATTTATAAAGTTTTTTAGATATTTTCTCCCCCCTTAAAGATAAAAAAGATGAAAAAACACCCTTATAAAGTTTTTGGTAGCCCTAAAAAGCCCGAAAAAACTTGCCGCTGATGCGGCACGTGTCCTCGAGCGGCTTCTCGTCTTTGCTCTCGTCGTCTTTCTTGTCGTTTTTCAGCATTTGCCTGGAAAAGCGTGGGATTTTTTTAGGGTTTTCAGGGTGTTGAAAACATTTTTATTACTCGTCGATCTCTAGAAAACGCCTAGAAACGTGAGCGGCCTTTTTACGGGTTTTCAGGTGTTTTTAAAACTTATAGTTTTCCTTTTAGGATAGCTAAAGAGGAAGGCGTTGCGCTATGTAGTACGTCTTAGGTCGTCAGGTCGGGTTTTTTTTTTAACTATTTTGTTGAAATGGCGGCTCTTTGTTGGAGCTATATATACGCGGCGGGTTTTTTTTACATAGTTCGAAGCGTTTGTTGTCGCGACGCTTTTCAAGCCTGGTATTTTCCATTTAAAAGCTAAAAAAGAAGCGTAGAAAACGGTAGAAGAACATATTACACCTTTTTAAAGGTTTACGGGACTCTAAAATGAATTTTTTTACTCTTAAAGCCTCAGAAAACGCCAGAACTTGGCTAGAAAACGTACACAGCGTTTTTATGCGTTTTCACAGGGTTTTTGAAACAGGATGTAGCGCTTAAAACTTCGTCAAGAAGCCTAGAAAACGTATCAAACGTACGCCGCCTTGCGCTTGAGCAGCATCTGCGCCTGCGGGTAGTAGCGGATGACGTCGTTCAGGTCTTCCTTCGCCAACACGAAAAGCGTCGCGTAGCCCTGAAAAAAAGCAATACAATCAGAAAAAAACTGTAAACTCACTTTAGCCCGAATATTCGCTGTTCGTCGGTTGTTGCCGCCGATCGCCAGCAGACTAAAAAAGTACATTTTAAGCAAAAAAAAAACATTTTATACCTGATTTCGCCAAAGACGCTGCCCTGCTGGAGTTGGGCGAACACCGTCTCGTTGTTGTTGCCGCCTGGAAAACGCAATTCATCGATTTTCGTAGCTTGTAGTTCAAATTTTAAGGTTTATTTTAGTTCGTCCGGCTTTAACTTGTTTTTAGCGCTAAAAATTAGGAATAAGTGCCAAATTAGCGTTTTTCGTGTTCGATTTTATCGCGTAATTCGTGCAAAATTACCATCTAGATTTCATAGGTTGTATTTTAAGACTTACTACAGTTTCTCCCGATTTTTTCTGATTTTTAGGGCCCACAAAAGTAAAAAATGAGCAACATTTGGATTTTCACCGATTTTCCCGGCCCTTCCCCTTCAAAAAAATCGCTAGAAACTCACCGACCACCTCCAGGACGCCCTGGTTGACGATGTACATCTCCTTGCCGACGTCACCCTTCTTGCAAACGAGGTCCCCCGGGAGGTAGATGACCGGGCGGAGCTTGAGCACGAGGTCACGCAGGAAGGCACGGTCGCAATCCTGGAAAATGGCGGTGGATTTTGGGTTGTCGGTTCCTTTAAAAATCGCGTCAAGCCCCGGATTTCAACACGTATTATTGTTTTTACTGTTTTTACTAAAACTCATACATTTCAAGCAAAATCTATTTAGAAAACTCTAAAAACTGTCTAAAAACTTGGAAATTTGCTCGAAAAATCGATATTTTTGCATTTTTTAATCAAATTTTGTAAAATTTTTATGCTTAGAAATAGTAAAAAATAGTTTAGAAACAGTTTCTTTATTTATGTTATCAGTTGATATTTTTTTGCACCCGAAAAACTCATACAAACCTGGAACAGCTTGACCTTGCTGAGCGTGTTGTAGTGGACGGAGAGGGCCAGATCGGTCTGCAGCTTCAGGGGCAGCTTTTCGATCAGCTTCTTCTCGTCGAGCGTCTTGTGCTGCTCCCAGGTGTAGATAAACCAGTCGCGGACACGTTCAACTAGGTCCTAAAACCCAAAATAAAAAATTTTCAATAATAAGAACCCGGCTGAGGTTGAGCTTCTTGCACTCCGACAGGGCCATGTCCATTTGGCGCTGATATTCCGCGCGATTCCTGTTGGCGTTTGACACGATATCGCGAATCTGAAAAAGGAATCCTCAAGTTTCTCTGCTAGCCTGCCCTTTCCTAAAGAATCTCTGCTAGCCTGCCCTTTCCTAAAGAATCTCTGCTAGCCTGCCCTTTCCTAAAGAATCTCTGCTAGCCTGCCTTTCCTAAAGAATCTCTGCTACCTGCCCTTTCCTAAAGAATCTCTGCTAGCCTGCCCTTTCCTAAAGAATCTCTACTAGCCTGCCCTTTCCTAAAGAATCTCTACTAGCCTGCCCTTTCCTAAAGAATCTCTGCTAGCCTGCCCTTTCCTAAAGAATCTCTACTAGCCTGCCCTTTCCTAAAGAATCTCTACTAGCCTGCCCTTTCCTAAAGAATCTCTGAGCCTGCCTTTCCTAAAGAATCTCTGCTAGCCTGCCCTTTCCAAAGTATCTCTGCTAGCCTGCCCTTTCCTAAAGAATCTCTGCTAGCCTGCCCTTTCCTAAAGAATCTCTGCTAGCCTGCCCTTTCCAAAGAATCTCTGCTAGCCTGCCCTTTCCTAAAGAATCTCTGCTAGCCTGCCCTTTCCTAAAGAATCTCTGCTAGCCTGCCCTTTCCTAAAGAATCTCTGCTAGCCTGCCCTTTCCCAAAGAATCTCTGCTAGCCTGCCCTTTCCTAAAGAATCTCTACTAGCCTGCCCTTTCCTAAAGAATCTCTACTAGCCTGCCCTTTCCTAAAGAATCTCTGCTAGCCTGCCCTTTCCCAAAGAATCTCTGCTAGCCTGCCCTTTCCTAAAGAATCTCTGCTAGCCTGCCCTTTCCTAAAGAATCTCTGCTAGCCTGCCCTTTCCTAAAGAATCTCTGCTAGCCTGCCCTTTCCTAAAGAATCTCTGCTAGCCTGCCCTTTCCCAAAGAATCTCTGCTAGTCTGCCCTTTCCTAAAGAATCTCTGCTAGCCTGCCCTTTCCTAAAGAATCTCTGCTAGCCTGCCCTTTCCTAAAGAATCTCTGCTAGCCTGCCCTTTCCTAAAGAATCTCTGCTAGCCTGCCCTTTCCTAAAGAATCTCTGCTAGCCTGCCCTTTCCCAAAGAATCTCTGCTAGCCTGCCCTTTCCTAAAGAATCTCTGCTAGCCTGCCCTTTCCTAAAGAATCTCTGCTAGCCTGCCCTTTCCTAAAGAATCTCTGCTAGCCTGCCCTTTCCTAAAGAATCTCTGCTAGCCTGCCTTTTCCCTAAAGAATCTCTGCTAGCCTGCCCTTTCCTAAAGAATCTCTGCTAGCCTGCCCTTTCCTAAAGAATCTCTGCTAGCCTGCTCTTTCCAAAGTGATCTCTGCTAGCCTGCCCTTTCCTAAAGAATCTCTGCTAGCCTGCCCTTTCCTAAAGAATCTCTGCTAGCCTGCCCTTTCCTAAAGAATCTCTGCTAGCCTGCCCTTTCCTAAAGAATCTTGCTAGCCTGCCTTCCAAGTGATCTCTGCTAGCCTGCCCTTTCCTAAGAATCTCTCTGCCTGCCTTTTCCCAAGAATCTCTGCTAGCCTGCCCTTTCCTAAGAATCTCTGCTGCCTGCCTTTTCCCAAAGAATCTCTGCTGCCTGCCCTTTCCTAAAGAATCTCCAGCCTGCTCTTTCCAAAGTATCTCTGCTAGCCTGCCCTTTCCTAAGAATCTCTGCTAGCCTGCCCTTTCCCAAAGAATCTCTGCTAGCCTGCCCTTTCCTAAAGAATCTCTGCTAGCCTGCCCTTTCCTAAAGAATCTCTGTTAGCCTGCCCTTTCCCAAAGAATCTCTGCTAGCCTGCCCTTTCCTAAAGAATCTCTGCTAGCCTGCCCTTTCCTAAAGAATCTCTGCTAGCCTGCCCTTTCCAAAGTGATCTCTGCTAGCCTGCCCTTTCCTAAAGAATCTCTGCTAGCTGACCTGTCCGAGCAGTAGGGCGAACACGAAGACGCCCATCATCCACGAGAAGGTCATGTAGATGTACTCGATGACGTTGGTGGGGGCTGGGTTGTTTCCTGTCGACGTGGCGACGGCGGCCGTGAAGTAGAAGCAGCGTAAATAGGCGTTTCCTGGAAACAACAAAATTTAAAACAAAAAACAATTAGATATAAAAATTAATAAAATCAAATCCAAAACCAAAAATTACCCTTATTATTGTAGACCCATTTGTTGAGGTAGTACTTGCCGTTCATCTGGTACGCGATTTGGCCGAACGCCTGAAAAACGAGTTTTGAGGAATTCCTATAAAACAGTTTTCCGTTAGACTACCAAGTACTAGCTTTTCTAAAGTGTTCTGGATATTATCGAAAAACGCGGAAAAGTTACAAAATGTAGCAAAAAAATTGAAAAATTTCGGTTTTTCGACCAAAAATGCCCTATTTTGGCCAAAATTTCGAAGTTTTTACCAAAATAGTTGTAAGTTTTCGATAAACTTTCCATATGAAATAAAATTAAATTTTACTAAAAACACCATTAAAAGATTTAGTATGATTAAAAAATACAAAAATATCGATTTTTCGCCTAAAAAATGTCGTATTTTCGACCCAAATTCCAATTTCTACCAAAAATTTAAAATTTTCAGACAGTTTTCCACTTGAAATATAGCTACGTTTTACTAAAAACCCACACTATTAAAATACCGATTACGTTTGGGGTCCAAAAAAATTTTTGGGGCCGAAAAATTTTTTTTTTCCAAAATTTTAAAAAAAAACAACTCCCCCCAAAACCCAAAAATTTTAAAATTAAAAAAAAATTTTTTAATAAATTATTTTTTGGGCCCCTCTTTTTTTGTTTTCCGCCCCGGCGGGTTGGGGGGGGGGGGGCGGGCCCGCCCCCCCCCTACTGCGTTATTAGGCATTGCTCGCCTGTCTCAAAAAATTCCCCGTCCCCCCGATAATGCCAAAGAACCGCGAAAAATCCGACAAACCTGCCAAGCGCTCAGCAAGTAGTAGACACAGCTGTTGCAGTGGATAATGTAGACCATATAGGAGAGAGTACGGGTGATACGGATGACGTAGGGATTGGAGAACGAGTTGTCGAGCAGGTCGAATAGTTGCCAGAACGATTGTACCTGGAAATAGGCGTTTTAAAGGGGTATGGAAGCGAGAAAATCTAGAAAAAGGGTAGCAGAGATTCTTTAGGAATGGGCAGGCTAGCAGAGATTCTTTAGGAAAGCCAATAAAACGCTAAAAAATACCTTGAGCAACCTCCCAAGCCGCCATATCGGAATGATATCCGTGTAGAAGTACATGAAATCGAGCGGCACAATCGAGAGGAGATCCAGCTTGAAACTCCCCGACATCACGTAGTTGCGCAGCGTGTCGCGGCGATTTCCCTGAAAATCAGAAAATTATCTCTGCTAGGCTGCCCTTTCCTAAAGAACCTCTGCTAGCCTGCCCTTTCCTAAAGAATCTCTGCTAGCCTGCCCTTTCCTAAAGAATCTCTGCTAGCCTGCCCTTTCCTAAAGAATCTCTGCTAGCCTGCCCTTTCCTAAAGAATCTCTGCTAGCCTGCCCTTTCCCAAAGAATCTCTGCTAGCCTGCCCTTTCCTAAAGAATCTCTGCTAGCCTGCCCTTTCCCAAAGAATCTCTGCTAGCCTGCCCTTTCCTAAAGAATCTCTGCTAGCCTGCCCTTTCCTAAAGAATCTCTGCTAGCCTGCCCTTTCCTAAAGAATCTCTGCTAGCCTGACCTTTCCTAAAGAATCTCTGCTAGCCTGCCCTTTCCCAAAGAATCTCTGCTAATCTACCCTTTCTTAAAGAATCTCTGCTAGCCTGCCCTTTCCTAAAGAATCTCTGCTAGCCTGCCCTTTCCTAAAGAATCTCTGCTAGCCTGCCCTTTCCTAAAGAATCTCTGCTAGCCTGCCCTTTCCTAAAGAATCTCTGCTAGCCTGCCCTTTCCTAAAGAATCTCTGCTAGCCTGACCTTTCCTAAAGAATCTCTGCTAGCCTGCCCTTTCCTAAAGAATCTCTGCTAGCCTGCCCTTTCCTAAAGAATCTCTGCTAGCCTGCCCTTTTCCTAAAGAATCTCTGCTAGCCTGCCCTTTCCTAAAGAATCTCTGCTAGCCTGCCTTTCCTAAAGAATCTCTGCTAGCCTGCCCTTTCCTAAAGAATCTCTGCTAGCCTGCCCTTTCCTAAAGAATCTCTGTAGCCTGCCCTTTCCTAAAGAATCTCTGCTAGCCTGCCCTTTCCTAAAGAATCTCTGCTAGCCTGCCCTTTCCTAAAGAATCTCTGCTAGCCTGCCCTTTCCTAAAGAATCTCTGCTAGCCTGCCCTTTCCTAAAGAATCTCTGCTAGCCTACCCTTCCTAAGGAATCTCTGCCAGCTCGCCTTCCCATAAAAACTTACAATCGAAATACCGCCCCTCATAAACTGCAGTCGTGGTTTGATGATGATCATATCGGCCAGGTAGATGGCGTCACACAGGTAGTCGACGATCAACCAGTAGACGACGTTCGCGTCCGTCTAAAGCCAAATTTCGGCCCAAAAAACATAAATCTCTACCTGATACGGATAGCTGCTGCGCAACGGGATGCCCAGCGCGTTGTAGAGGAACGCCGTCGTCACGGCGAACAGCCAGCCAAGGTGGAATTTGCCTGGAAAATCAGATTTTTTTTAAAACCTAAAAAAATCACGGGTAAGAATTAGCGTCCAGATAGCTGAAAATCTTCTTCTCAGTTCTTTTCAGCTTTCGAAATTCTCTTGTTTACCCCTCCGCCTGTTGCTCAATCCAAAAACCAAAAGAATCCTATCCTATAAGCGAGAAAAGTATGTCTGTTTTCTGTGCAGCTGATTTCTCCGGACGTCGGCCGAATTTCCGGCTGATTTTGGCATGGAGGTGGAGAAACACATTTGCCAGAAACGCATTTTTTTGTTTTTCGAAATTTCTCTATTTAACGATTTTACAAACAAAATGGTGAAAATCCTTAACAAAATGGGCTACGAGCCGTGGTGTCGGGGGCATAACTCGCTTCGCATTTGGAATTTCGGGCTGAAATTTGGACCAGTTATGTATTCGATAGTGGGGATCACGCGCATCTTATTATTTTTACAAATTTTCGGCGCATTTAGACTAAAAAGCGATTTTTTTTAAAGTTACCAGAAGTCCTCCCTCCCGGGTTGGACCCTGCCCCTGGACAGAAGAGGCCTTTCCCGCTGCCCTTCCCCCCCATTCCTCCTTTGGTATAGTGGCTTGACGCCCGGTCCACCATGCACGTAGTCGAGGGTTCGAATCCTCGGCAAATTTTCCTTTTGCTTTTGATAGTTCAACAACAAAACATATTTCGAGGCTCTAGGTATCCGAAATTTAGGCCAGTCCCTCGTCTAGCGCCGCAGGCCAAAGAAAAGGTCCTTGGCCCGGGCTCTAGCGCCGCAGGCCAGATGCTGGAGGAAAAACCAGCAGCTAGCGCCGCAGGCCAGAGAATGGTTTAGAGTCAGGCTCTTGCGCCGCAGGTTTAAAAACGGAAGAGGAAGATATGGTTTCTAGAGGGGGGCCAGTGGAAAAGGGCCGCGAAGCGGTCATTTTTCCACTGGTATTAGTAAATAGAAGTAAATAGCAATTTCGTGAGCTTGACCCTAATGGTTCATGCCCTTTAAAACGCCGATTTTCTTCAAGAAATACTGCTAGTATGCCCTGGGTTACTTTCAAAATGTCGAAAATCTGTCGAAAGTTATAATGCCAAATGTCCACAATGTCAGTAATTCCGTAATGCCGAAATTTCACTAAGTGCCGACACGCAAAAATTGTAATAAATGCAAATTCAGAGCAATTCACAATGCCGAAATGCCATAGTGCCGAAATTTCAGAATGCCGACAGGCAAAAACTGTGAAAAATTAGAAAAAAATCCTGTGCAAAAAAGTTTCGATATTTTGAAATTTCGACATACTGAAACTCCAATTATGATAGCAAATCCTCTGCCCCTTCCCCAGCTTTAAAAACTCAAAAAACAGCAATTTTACGATATTACCGTATGGATCGATAGAGTACGGTAGCCAGCCGCCCTTTGCCTCCTCTCGCGCAACTTCTTGGTCTTCGGCTTTCTGTAAAAAAATGAGGATTTTTGAAGCTGGATTAAATTTCTCACCTGTAACCCGATCAGCGACATCAAACTCGGCCGTTTTTCCAGGGTTGGCATGCTGCAGAAAAATGTTAATTTTAGAAAATTAAATACCTAGCGACACTCTGCGATGCTTCCTCGTCTAGAGATTCTTTTAGGAGACTTTCTCGAGTCGGCCGATGTACGACGCTCCATCTCAAAAAATTAAGAAATTTCTAACCAGTAGAGCCGACCCGCATAATGGGTTCTTTCGCATTATCGGGGAGGTAATTTTACATAATCCTACTATATATAAAAATAGTGTCTGTGTGTGTGTGTGCTTAATTTCATGCAACTTCCGTCAGGGTGTCCGGAGGATATCTCGAGAGGGAAAAGGGTGTTAGGCTACGTATGATACGTCATTAGTGCGTAATGGCGCTGAGATGACCCACACACATCAGATTTTCGCAAATATGCTATTTCGACGTTAAAATTAAGTTTTTGTTAGAAAATGGAGCACCCACTTTGTTAGGAATCAATTAGCATATGCCGGAAATGGCGCTTTGGTCTATATAATGGCTATATGCAGGCAGATTTTTTTGTCTCCGGAATTCGCGAGAATTATGCAAAATAATATTATTACCAGGGTTGAAAAGACGAAGCGGCTTTTCAACCCTGTTCGTATTAATTTCATTGCAAAAACTTAAAATTCAGATTGTCATAAACTGTAATTATTTTTCGAATTGAAGAAACTATTTAGAAATGTTTCGTGCCATTTCTTGAATCAAATATTGAGTAAATTAGAGCTTTTTGGGTGGGACGGATTGCGATGCGAGTATCGTCTCTAGTAAATTTTGTAAAATTTCTGCGCTTCTCACGGGAACGCAAAAAAAAACAGGCCTTTTGAAAGCAACTTGCCAATGCTCTTTAGTTATAAGGATCAATTAACTGCCGTCACCACCTATAAGATAAGCCCCCCGATAACGCGAAAGCACCAGGAAATATTCTGTGCTAGCTCCCTGACCTGCTTGACAAACGAGTGCAGCCGTTCCCGCATGACGAACGAGATCTGCGACTTCACATCGTCGTCAGCGCCAGGGGATTGTGGACCGGCTAAATTCATGGATTATAAAGTCTAGGTGATCGACGTTACTTGAGGAGAAACTGGCCGACAGCAAGCTGGGCGATTCGGAGGGCCGGCGTAGAAGGGATGAGCCAAGGCTGTGAAGGCTAGAAAAGCAATAAAAATCAAGCAAAAATTTTTGTACCTCTTGCCAAGCTCGCCTTCCCTTGCCGATGGTTCTGGCGTTCGTCCGCTGTCCGGTTCCACCTAAAAAAAATCGATTTTAAAAGGCACTCGGCGAGGGAGAGCTAGAGAGAGTGAGAGAGAGAGAGGAGAGAGAGAGAGAGAGAGAGGAGAGAGAGTATAGAGAGCGTTAGAGAGAGAGAGAGCAGCGAGAGAGAAAGAGAGAAAGAGAGAGAGGGAGAGAGAAGAGAGAAAGGAGAGAGAGAGAGAGAGAGAAGGAGAGAGAAAGAGAGGGCGAGTAGAAAGAGAGAGAGGAGGGGAGGATGGAGAAGAGGGAGGAGGGAGAGAGGGGCGGCAGACAGAGAGAGGAGGGAGAGAGAGAGAGAGAGTGATCACGAGAAAACTTACATTGATCTGCACGCCTGCCGTCGGCGCCGGCAAGTGATGAGTGGAGCGGTTCGTATCAAACCTAAAAAATAATTGAGTGACAAAATTAAATTCAAAAAACTTACCCGAAATCGCTGAACTCGCTGACCGGGTCGGGCAGCGGGGCGGTGCGGCTCTGGCGCTGAAAAGGTTGAATTAAAAATGCATTTTAACGAAATTTTAACTGATTTTTACGATTTTCAGTATTTCGCTAGCTAGCAGATTCTTTAGGAAAACCAATTTTGCTACCAGTAAAAATAGAAAATCATCAATATCGGTGACGACAGTCTTCCTGATGATGGCCCAATGTCTGCGAGCGAGGTAACGAGCATCGGTCGTTGGGGAAATGTCGGCGGCCCAATCCATTTAAAATAGCGAGTGAGAAATAGGGAAAAATAGGGCGGAAAGTGGCTGGGCAGGGCCGGCGGCTGTGGCAAATTATGAATAGGTATCTTCCCTTTATTTCTGTCGGCTGGCAGAGATGGCCCTCATTAGGGCCCATCCACAGCACAACACAATGGCCCATCTGGCGATTCAGAAAAAGCGGAAGACTGCGTGAAAAGAAAAGAAAGAAAAGGGGCGGGATTAGGCGGGAATATGTACGGAAATGGATCTCTCAGGCCCTCATTTTCAAGTTTTCCACGTTCGGGAGCTCTCGCATTATCGGGGGGTAATTTTTTGAGTGTCCAGAAATACCCCGTAACGTAATAATACGTATCTTCATAACGTTTTTAGCAAATTTGACGGTATTTTAAGTGGAAAGAATAGCTAAAAACTTTAAAAAGCCGACATTTTGCTCGAAAACGACGATTTTTGGTTGAAAAATAGATACTTTTGGTGTTTTTAATAAAAATTTGTGTCGTTTTTACGCTTTGGAAGAGAAATAAAATAGTTTTGAACAACTTTCTCGAATTGTATTTGAAAAATAGAACCTTAGAAAAAAGTCCCACCCCCGATAATGCATAAGAACCAAATTTCTATTTTTTTTCCAAATTTAAAAGCTAAAATAAAAATTGAGCATTTCTTCTTTAAAAAAAAGCTTCTAATTCTTACAACCGAAATTCCTAAAAACACGCACCAATTTCTCGAGGATGCGGTTCTTTCGTTGATGGAGTCGCCCGGGCAGCTCGTCGTTGGGTGGCTCCATTTTTTAGGCAGATAGGCCTGGAAACGGAAACTTTAACTTTTAATTAAATTAAAAAAAATCTTAAATTAAAAATAAGTTAACTAAAACTAAAATTTAAAATTCCAAGAACCAAACTATTTGGAAACAAATCGTTTAATAAAATCAATTTCAGTGGTTCGTAAAACAGAATTGAAGCTGCAAAGCAAAACGTTATATTATTATTCCTAATTTTATTAAAAATAGTTCCTAGGCAAAATTAGGTTAAATTTCTATGCTGAGATTTCCGCTATAAATGCTCCCTATTTATGCTCAGTATCTCACCGTAAAAGCCAATTAGCCTTTAAGCCGAATTCCCCCGTTAAAATCCTAACTTATCAATCGATTCCTTCAAATCTTAATTCTTGCTATTAATTTTTATATTTTAAATCACTCCAGCAAGCCAGGTATCCAAAATCAACTCGACGACGCGATTTTGCGGGGGCCAGTTGAAGAAGATGATATGTTAGGTGTTGCCATGGCGCCAAAGTAGGGCTTTTTCGGGGGAGAAGGGGGGCTCATCTCCTCACATTTCCGAAGGCCGGGAGAGCACACCGGATATTAGTGGGACATCCACCTTCCCACGCGAGAGACCACACCGATTATAGACATTTAATAACCCTAGTTTTATTCCTTATCAATGGCAAAGGCAAGTCAAATTCATCAAAAAAGATCCATCTTCAAAATTGACAAAAAAAGCTACGTTCTTCGAAAATTCTAAACATCTAAACAACAGGGACAAGTCTACAGTTATAAAAATACTCTATAACTCAAACTAGCGAGCAATAGATAGAAATGTAACGCTACGGTGTTGCGCCTGCAAAAAACCCTACTAAAAATTTCGACTTTGAAAATTCTATATATTGCAAGCTAGCAAAGGAGCGCAAATCCGCTACGCAAACGGTAGAAATTGTTAAAATGTTTAAGCTCGTGTTTAAAGGGTCAGGCAAGTCAAATTTTTGCGCTTCAGAAGCTAGACAAAGATTTGAAACTGGAAGAATTCAATATATCTCGCTGCGAAAAAAACATAAGCCAGCAGTGATTTTTGAGGAAGGTTGGAGGCGGGCCCGAACACAAGCTAGCATTGATTTTTCAGGAACACAGACGTTTAAAGGGATGAGCAACATCAGAAAGAATTAATTTTCGACACCCCGCAACGCACCTGCCACTCCCATTGATTACGCCATGGAATCCGGGCGCGTCGCGTGTTGCGTGGCGGAAAAGCCTCATTTTCGCGTGTACCTTTACAAAATTCTATACTTTGCAACTACAAAAAAAATCCTTTTAATTCATTATATTCCATTTCGCCATGTATAGCTCGAGTGTAAGTAGCAAAAAAAATCGGGAACCGCATATCTTTATTTAACCAGGCGCGCCCCCGCGCTGCAACATGACAAAAACACACATACACAAAAAAAAATGAGATCAGGAGATCTTGGAAGGCACAGACAGATACATAATCCCGCATGTTATATTAACTCGTATAAAATGGGCAGAAAAAGGCAGAAAGCGAACCGGAAGTGATATATAAAGAGGGAGAAAGAGACCTTTTAAACACCCGTAAATTGTAGCGTAGCGTACACGTAAGGAGAAAAAATAACAATATCAAACTTAAAGTTCGGCAAGGTACGTAGCGTAGCGTACTGTATCAATTACGGGATATAGAAAAATTACGGGGTGGCTCAGGAATGAGAGATTCTAGCGGAAAAGTATTTTAAAGGGACCGGCAAGGCAGGCAGGGCTATGGATTTTCTGAGATTTTTGCCTTTATCTTGCGTAATCAATTACGCAATTCCCGGTACTATTGCATTATCGGGGAGGGGGGTGCTAATGTTTTCGAGGCTTTATCCATTTAAACCAAAATTTAGAGAAATTTTACTAAAAATTGGATTGATTTCAAGTTTCTGTTAAATTTACATTACTAGAATTTCTGTTTACATAGCATAGCATAATGCAAAAGCACCCGACGTCTTCAAGCTGGTCAAACGCGGCCGCTTTTTCGGCGCGTTGCCCTTCGCGCGACGGGAAAAATTGAAAAATCCATAGCCTAGCCTTGCCAGTCCCTTTAAAAGCAAAAAATATGCATAGATAACGGAGAAGCATTTAGCCAAAAAAAAAGGGGGAACAGAATAAATACATATTTCAGGAGGAAGCAACGACGTCGACAAGTTCAACGCCGGCTTGGACCGGGCTTTCAGCACATCATCGATAACGAGGGGCTCCTATTGACGGAGACGCGGAATTATAGGGGCCATTGGCCCTGCGGCGGGTACATCGACTGCATCGGGTGGCCACCGGGGAAACCGGGCTGGCCCATCGCAAAGTTTGGCGGCAAGAACGACATTGGCATCTGGTGGGAGGGCTGAAAACAAGAATTTAATTTTATATTAAGAAAGGTGATATTTTTAGGCAAAAAAATTGTAAAAAATTTAATAAAATTTAGCTATTTAAAAATCTTCTTTAAAACCTTATTCTACAAAAACCCTTTTTACAAAAATTAGATTTGTTCAAAAAAATATTGTTAATAAAAAACTATTTTTTATATTTAAATCTTTTTGAATCATATTCTAATTTTTAGAAAAATTTTATGAAGTAAGCTTGGTTGAAAAATTCCCAATTCTTGGCTGCCCATTTCCTAAAGAATCTCTGCTAGCCTGCCCGTTGCCTAAAGAATCTCTGCTAGCCAACCCCTCCTAAAGAATCTGCGCTAAACACCCCATTTCCTAAAAAATCTCTGCTAGCCTGTACCTGTTGGGGTTGACGCTGCCCAAGAACGGCAATCTCGGCGGCCAGCTGGTTGAGGCCGGCGTCGCAGATGCCCATCATGCCCTGGATGACGGCGCAGAAGGCGTACGGGCCGAAGCCGTGCGTCACCTGGAAATGAGATTTTAAACAAATTAAAATCTAACAAAAACAAATTAACTTAACCAAAGTAACTAAAATAACTTACGAGGCCAAAATTCTGGACGGCATTGGTGGCCTGGCCGAGGGTGTTGTGCAGGCGATGATAGTCACGGGGATGGATGCCGCCCGACTGGAAGACGCTCAACATCTCCGAGAGGAAGCGTCTAAAAAATAAAAATTATTATATGCTCACTTTTAACTTTTAAAACCCCGCAAAAAAAAATATATTATTGCGCGCTCTATGCAATTTTGTCCGCTCATTTTCGAGCCGTTTTCATAGTCATTTCTTGCTAGTCGCCGAAAAGCTTTTAGAAAGCCAAAACTATATCCGATTTTTCATCATCGTTTTCGAGCGGTTTCGAAGCTCATCGGACTTGTCGAAAAAGTTTATGGAACACCCATAACAAAATAAAAAGTATTGAACCGCATTATACACGATTTTCTGACCATTTTCCAGATTATCTACTTTCCGAAAACTTCTTAGAAAGCCAAACGAGCAATAAAAATTAGTGTAATGCATTCGATGCAGTTTTGCCATCGTTTTCAAGCCGTTTAAAGGTATTCCTTTGAGAGGAATTTTGAACACAGAAAGGAATAAAAATCAATGCAGTGCTTTTTACGCATTTTCCGTCAACTTCGAGTCGTTTCCAAGAAGATCTACTTCTCGAAAAACCGTTTCGAGAGCCAAAAAAAAACATAAAAAGGCCATTTTCAACCCTTGCTCCAAGATCATCTACAAGCCGAGAAGCTCTTGCTAGCAAAAAAATAACGCACTTCGACTGGACGAGCTGCTGCTGGCGTTCGTGCAGCATCAGATGGTTCTCCTTCTTGGTCTTGTCGACAAGATATTGGGCGAGGTCCTTTGTCGACAGATTCTTCGTCACCAACGCCTCGAAATCGTGCCCCATCACGTACGCTTCTTCTGAAAAAAGGAGACTAATCATCGGAAATTATTTGAAAAAGCTAAAAAAATAACGCCACTTTCTATATAAAAAAACACTAAAAATTACGGTTCTTTTGCATTATTGGGGAGGCGAAATTTTTTTATTCTAGAAATGTCTTTAAAAACCAATACGATGTATTTTTTGGTTTTTTAGTAAAATAAACCTATATTTAAGCTAGAAAACATCTAAAAATAACAAAACATCTTCAAAAAGCCGAAATTTTTGTCAAAAACTGCCATTATACGTCGAAATTTTTTGTATTTTTTACTAAGAATTTGTAAAGTTTTTACGTTTAGGGAATTGTAAAAAACGGTTTAAAAACGCTTTGCTCCCTACCCCCCCCCCCCCCTTCCTGGGGGAGCCCTTATTTTCCCCCCCCCCCCTTTCTTTCTTTTCCCCCTCTTCCCACGTTTTTGGCCGTGTAGTTCCCCGTCCGCCCTTTTAAAGGGAAAATCCCATCCTTCCATCTTTTTTATATAACTTGATCTGCATTAAATTTCAAAGGATCCCTTCTCTTTCTTTAAAAAAAATTCCCCCGGGGGTTTTTTATTTTTCCCCCGATAATGCGAAAGAACCAAAAATTTTATTTTATTAGGCTATTTTTCATTTCGTTTTCAAAAATTACAACAGCAAGAAACCGCGAAAAACACGCACCTTCGCATAGTGCTGTGAAGGCGGTGGCGGGTGAGGTCTTGCGCCGGCCGAGGGGTAGTTCGATCGCGTATTCCTGGAGTCGAGAGCGGAGCGCCTTGCCGCCGTCCTTCGATTTCGCCCTGGAAAATGGGGAAATTAGGGAAACGTCGATTCCCGACGAGCTAAAAATCCGACAGAGCCGCAATTACGACAAGTCAAAATCCCGACAGGGAAAGCCAAAAAATCCCGACAACCCGAATAGCAAAAAGTTGTTTAAAAATAAGTTGCGTTTAAGCCAGAGACAAGAATTTGTCGGGATTTCGGCTAAATTTGCTGGGCCCCCGTTCATGGAAAAGCACCTAAAACGGCAAAATACCCACTTTCGCAAGATTCCATTTAGCAAACTCGCGTGCAGGCACTCTGGCGGGGAGAGACGACGCCGGATTTCGCCAACCGTCACCTAAAAAATCATTAAAACGTATAAATTAAAATTTAATGGAAAATAACAAAACCTTTTTTTTACGGTTTAAATTTTTGTACCTTGTATTTTGTGGAAGCCGATAGAAGGGCGTGACGGGCCGGCACCAGGTCGAACTCGGTCTCATTCTCGTGAGAAGCATTGGCGGCGCCGCCCTGGGCAAGCTGGGTGGCCGTTGAGGAGGAGGCTAAAAAGGAAACATTAATAAATTGCTTTCCCTCGCTCAATTCAAAACTGAGCATGAACTTTTTTTACTTGATTTTTATTAAACCTAATCTCATGATTCTAATTTTACTAATCTTACTAAATCAAGCGTCTTTATAAGCTCTAAAAAAGAAAAATAATCTCTATGTTTCCACAAAAAATAAATCGCCTTTTTCGGGACTCAAATTTTTTAATTTCTTTTTGTACTGCAAAAAATCAAGAATAGCATTTTTATAAGCTCAAAAAAATTAAAACAACAATTTCTAGCTCGAAAAAATTAAAATTGGTTGTTTTTCGGGCCTCAAAACGCACCCAAATAATTCGTAGGCATCGACGAGTCGGCCTGATTGACTTCCGCTTCATCATCCGCTTCCGGGCCGAGCTCGTCGGAACTGTCGGGGCTGCTCGGTTGGTCGTTGTTCGGGCTCGTGAAGATGCCACTGAAAATACAGGTAAATGTCGAAATATTTTAACTGAAAAACACTTTTCAATTTTTTGTATTTTTATAAATTTTTTCTAATTATATATTTTTATTGGTAAAACTTATTTTCGTGCGCCATTTTCATCAAAAAAAATTCAAAAAAGGGCTTCTTAGAAGGCTCAAAATCTAAATTAAACTCGCTCAACTTCCAAGAAATTTCTAGCAATTTTTATGTGCTATAAAAAAATCGTAAATTCCATTTTTTATGACTTTTATAGCATTTTATATATCTTAATCAAAGCAAAAAAAATCCCGCACCTGTCATCAGTGCTCGTGCCGTATCCGCCAGCGCTGCCCGGTGTGTGCTGTTGTGAGGTGCTGAACTGGCCGAACTGGTGGGCAAAGTTGGGCGTGTTGAAGCCTTGGCCCATCGCCGCGAACAGCTGGTACTGCTGGTTGGCCGCCGCCGCGCCGAACATGTCGAACGGGGTCGGCTGCATCAGGCTCGGCGGGTACTGTAATGGAGATGATTATTTTCATCGTTTTATCGTTGCAAAATGCCTGAAATAAAAAAATCTTTAAAAATCAAAACAAGTTTCTCAACATTCGAAACAAAAAAAAACAAGCAATTTCCAGCGCAAAAAAACGAGAACAGATTTTATAAATATTTTTAAGTGGTTTACCGCAACAAAATGTTTGAAAATCGCGTTTTCCAAAAAAAATTTAAAATTTTAAAATCAGCTTCTCGTGACAACAAAAAAAAACAAATTAGAATTTCCGAGGCCCAAAAAGAGTAGATCGGTTTTTCGAAAGTTTCAATAACTGCAACAGGCACAGTTTTAAAGTTCAAAAAATTTTATTTTAATTTTAAAATTAGCCTTTTCTCTAATCTTCAAAACAAACAAAATCACACTTTCTAATGCTCACAGAGTTTTGTTACCCCTCAAATAAAATTCACAACTGTCGTTTAGTGTTGTAAAAATAAAAATCCGCTTTTTCTAAGGTAAAAAAAATGAAAAGTTCTCTTTTCCAAAACTTATTCAAAGCTTTTTTAGCTTATTTTTATCAGAAATCAAGCCAATACCTGAAAGGTGCTGGGTGGTGTGGTGTTCTCTTGATCGCGTCCGGCGGGGTCTTTCCCCATGGCTGACACCTTGTTTGGGGGTTCGTTGGGTGATGAGCCGTCGGCTGGTCGCTTCGCGGGGCGCAGCTGGTCGTACTGCTGTCGTTGCTGCTGCTGCTGCTGCTCGCCCGTGATCATCTTCGGGTCGCGGTTCTGGAAATGTTAATAGATTAAAACCGTAACCAATATTGTAAAGTAAAAGATAACAAAAAAAAGTAAAGAAAAACGACGAATATAGAAAGCCTAAATGATTTTAGATAAAGGGTTAAAAGTTTAAGTTTAAAGGCTAATAATAATAAGTTGTAAGTAAATTACAGAATTTTTAAAAGCTGTGCTATATCATACCGCATCTGCGAAAGAATTAGGTCATGGGAGCCTGGAAAATAAGCACTAATAGTCGTAGTTTCATTTTTTCTTATTCCCCTTTTTCATCTACATCAATTTTATTAAATAAACTACAATTTCTAATATAAGTCTGATAGCTTAATTTTACAAACTAAAAAAAAATAATATAAAAACTTGGTTTAAAGTGAAATGGTTTATCAATATTTCATACATCTCTCAAGGCAGGCTAGCAGAGAACCTTTAGGAGAGGGCAGGCTAGCAGAGATCCTTTAGGAATGGGCAGGCTAGCAAAGAATCTTTAGGAAAGGGCATCCTAGCAGGTATTCTTTAGGAAAAGCAGCTACCCAAGTACCAAAAAATGCCTCGCCAACCCAAAAGTGAAACCAGGTGGCCCGGGGCAAAAACTGGGGGCACAAAGGGCAGATATGCGCTGATATAGGTTGATCAGGGGGCGGGGTCCTGGGGTGATACCGTATCCCCCCTCCGAGGGACAACATCAAGGCGGGAGCCGTGTGAATTTGCGCGCATCACATCTGCATCCATCTGCCCCCTAGCGGGAGTGATAGCCGTGTAATTCCCTGAGGTTCTATGTTTGAATTTGGGGGGATTTGAATTATTGGGGGCTGTTCTTTTTGGATATCGGCAAGGTGGGAGGAGGCGAGAGAGAGAGAGAGAGAGAGAGAGAGAGAGAGAGAGAAAGAGAGAGAGCAAGAAAAAGAAAAACTTGTCCGATATAGCCCTCTAAAGCCCCCAGGCATTTTTCAATGCGAATTTGGAAATCCTGAGGGTAACGACTCTCACGTCCCAGCTAGAGGTGATATCTAGAAATTAAGCGCGGCCTATCATTTTCACATGCTAGGCCAGGGAGATAATGATTTCATAGATGCGAAAATTTGAATCCGGAGAGCAAAGTACGAGTAAAAAGGGCCAAACATCACTAAAATAAATCAACACGACGACTGAAAGCTAAAAAAGGCATCACAAGGACCTAGAAAAAGCGCGATAAAAGTTATAGAATCGAAACTAGCCTAATTTTGTATAACCTAGGCTATAAAAAACTGATTAAAGTATCAACGATACCTCAAAAAAATCCCAAAAGAGCCGCAAAATCACTAAAAACGTTAAGTTTTTTTTTGCAAAATTAGGACTTTATTTATACTACAGTACCCCTTAAAAATACTACAATACAAGGAACAGCGATCTTCGGGAATTAAAGGTACATGCAAGGTACATGCCTCTTCTCCGATTGGCCGCGCGCGCGACACGCAACGCGCACGCCCGTCATTTCTTGCGCAATGTTTCAAGAGCGCTTCAACGCGGCGAGCGTCGCGTTGCGTGTCGCGGGTACGGCTAAGTTCATTCCTACTCCTAGTCTAAATCAACATGCATGCCTTGCGCGTCCATTAAATTTGAGGAATCCAAATCAAAAAAGAAAAAAATCACCTAAAGGGACAGCGACACCCAAAAAATTCCGAAAAACAAATCGACTAAATGATTTTGAAAACTGGTTACAGAAAACCATAACTAAACTCGTTAAATTTCCGCGGAATGAGAATTTCGATAATGACCACAATTCCTTTTCAAAGTTTATCCGCAAGTGGTGATTTTTGGTGTTGTCAGCGGCCCTTCAAAAGCGGGTTATTCGCTAAAAAACAAATTTATGTTGAGCTAGCTCAAAAATTAACAAAAAAATCGAAGAAACGTCTGTTTTCGGCATGCCTAATCATTTCCCTAAATTTTCTATAGCTAGCTATATATTAAAAATCTTGTACAAGCCAAACCAAGCAGAATTTCGTGAAAATCTACAACAAATGACACTCAAATCAGGAAAGAAGATTGCTAATGCTAACCCCAAAACAAAGTCATTTGCCTAGCCACAAGGTAAAAGAGATTCAAAGTTTTAAAAAGTAGGCGGGGTGTTCAAAAAACGGTTATTACTCTGCCCCCGTCAACCCATCAAAAAGGGCGCGCTCTGATCGAAGAAGGGCAGGTGTTTTGGCTGATTGGCATTGATATCCTCGAGATATGACGGCTGCCTCGTGTCAAATAAAACAATTCTGGAGGGGCCACGGATAAAAGGGTGGACGGGATTTGAACGGATTGGGGTGTAGAAAGGGGTCCTGAAGTCAAGAACGAAAATATTTAAGATCGGGGTAACGGTTGCTTAACGGGGGGGAGGCATCGGACAGAGCGTCAACTACGACTACGCTATTTATTTCAGCCTGAAAAACTAAATTCACAATGCTTTTTATTAATAAAGCTCGCTACAACAAATTAGCGTCAAGACAATTATACTAAGCCATTTAATTTCAGCGTGGAAAAATAATTTACAACGATTTTTAATGAATAAAAAACTCGCTATAAAAAATGACACTTTTTACTTATATTATTACGTGCAGAAATTAAATCTTTTAGCGTAATTAGTTCTAATCTTTTAGTTTTATCCGATGCGATTCATGAAATCCTGATAAAAAGGCAAAATGTCGAAAACAATGGTAATCCTTGCGTATACTAAAACCTAAAATCGAAGGTCATTTTTGGGGTTTAAAAGTTTAAACGTTTCGGACTTGGGGTTCTATTTTCCTGCCATTTTCCCGTCTCGACTTTTTCGCCTCGCTAGAAAAACGCTAAAAACACCCAAATCACCTCATTTTGCGCGCAAAAAAATCGATTAGAAGGAACCTAATAAGCACCAATCGAAAACGGCCCCGACCTCTCAAATTTTACAAAATCTATTTCGAATTTTTGCCAGCCCCTCCTATCCTCTTGCCATTCTCACTTTGCGCCTTGTTCGTATCGTGCATCCCTTCCAGCAATAGCTTTCCACCCCCGGCTACACCAACGGCGCAAATTGGGCCCGAATAGGGGGGGAAGGAGGAGCCAATTTGGTGCACCCCCGCTAAAAGAGGAGTGGCGGTTGTCTTGTGGCCCACAAAGGGTATGATCGAACGTTGGGCATCTATTAGGTATCAAGCCGAACGGGGCTGGCACGCATTTAATTTCTGAATGGGATAAATGCTGGGAAAATAGAGCAAAAAATGCACTGCAAAACTACCCGAAAAATTTAGAAAAATAGTTATTAAAAAACGATAGTTCGGTACTAAAATTCTATAAACTCCGAAGTATCATTAAATCAAAAAAGCCAAAAGGCTTGAAAAAAATCGCGCATTCTAAAATTTTCGAATAGATCAATTACTGAAAAATTAGTGCGATATTCTTGCTCTAAGTAATAGAGAAAGCTAATTAACCCCAGAAAGTGGAAACGGTAATCCAAAAACTACTTTTTTTGGCTTGCCGATTGAAAGTAAAACCTAGGAAAAGCAAGAAAACGAGCTTTTACTGGGAAAGGGAAAAGCACCTATTCAGGAGCCGAATTTGGATAGAGACGAAAAAACTAGATGTGAAAAAGAAGTCAAGTCTAAAAATCAAGTCTTCACAACGGAAATTCGCAAGATGAAGCGTCAACGACACGGATTTTCGTGGAAAGACAGAAATATCTAAAAAAGCCTACTTTCGCCTTTAGCAAAATAATCTGCTTTATTTTACGATATTGCTAGACCCAGGAGGAAACAGAGATAAAGGGAGAAGCTGTACCCGAAAACTATAAAAAAACAAACCGTACCTCGTCCCCATATCCGGCGTTGATCAGCACCACCTCAGCCTTGCCGTCGGCGTCGAAGCGTTCCCAGTGCTCGTTGGGAGGCCCTGACATCTTCCGGGACCCTGAAAAAAATCAAATTTAGCAAAAACTACGTTAACAAGACTCGAGGTAATGAAAGCGAAAATTCTACGACATCAAATGATTCAGCCGTGTGTGTAAAAGTCCTTTTGAAAAGCACCCATATTAAGCTTTTAAATGATTTAAAAGAGAAATCTAAATAAAGAAAAAGCCTTTAGAAGCTTATAATTTTCAACATTTTGCGCTTTCCAAAAATTTTTTCACTACGCTGCACAACCAATTCCACTTTTTTGTTCAGAGGAGCGAACGGAGCATCTAAAATTAAAAAAAACAAGATCTTGGTTTGAATTTTCACATGCTAGATTTTCTAATTTATTTAATTTAACTGAGATTATTCAAAGCAATTAGTATATAGAAATTAACCCCAGGAATCTTGTTCGTTTCTCGATCAAATGTGCTTTTTGTCTGTAAATTGCTCGCATTTCCGCATCGCTCGTCGAAAATATATCTTTATCACCGGGGCAAATTTTTTGGTGAGAACAGGTTGAACAAGGCATGAATATAAAAGGGCAGTTACAAAAATGAAGCGAGAAACGCTCGTCAAGGCTATTTTTTCTGCGATTTTGATGTCTTGAAGAGATTTCCTATTCGGCAATCTTATAAGACGTGTAAAATCAACCTAGAATAATTTTTAGTGCTCGTTCCGGCTGGGTATTAAGCGCAACACGCTTCTCCTGAAATGCTTTTCAGACGTTTTTAGGCATCTCGACGTTAGAATTTTTTAACGCGTCGATTTTTCACGTTTTGCCCGCTTTCCGAGCTTAAAATGACTACTTTCTAACAATTGTTAGCGCTCGTTCTGCTTGGCTATCAAGCGCAACAGCCCTCCAATGATGCACTTTTCCGAAATTCATTTTCAGCAGCTCCCTCATGGCTTTTCCCGGGGAAACCCGGTGGGACGTGCGGGCCACTGGGGGGCTCCCCGGGGCTTTCCGCGCGCGCCCCCATCCATCACGGGGGCTTCGCGGCCACGAGAAGAAGGAGCACGAGACGAGGAAGAGGAGAACCAGGCTGGCCCGCTTTTCGATAACCAACATCCCCCAACTGGCTGCTCCTCCCCGGCTCTTCTCATGGCCGAGGGGTTGTGTTGAGGGAGTGAGGGAGGAGGACGAGCCACCCTCTCTGATGAACCACCGCCAGCCGATGTGCCGGCTGGCGACTCGGCCGAATACTACGCCCAGAAAAACTGACTGGTCGTGAAAAAAGCGCGGTTCTTCACGTTTTGACGGCCAGCTGGCCGGCAAAAAGTGGTAGGGTGAAAATTTGAGCGCGGACGCGCGCTAGTTTAGGCTTTTTATATGTTTACGAACTCGAAATTTGTAGAGAAATTTGCGTGCTACGAAATAGAGTATTTTTATAGCCCTTTTTTCAGCGTTTTTAGCTATATAAAGAACCGAAAAATTACAAAATTGTCGAAACTTGGCTAGAGATTTTGCGCGTGAAAAGCTTGTTTACTTTTTAAACAAAGTGCATCAGCCGGCTACATTTTTTTTAACCTTAAAATACCGCAAAACGCAGTCGATTTGGACTAAAAACTCGAGATTTTTAAGTTTTAGGTTTTGTTATTTAAAAAAATTTAAACAAGCTAAAAAATAAACTAAAAACACTTTTCCAAAACTAGTTCCTTATATTTAAACCGCTAAATCAATTCATTTTAGTGCGAAAAAGTCGAGAAATCTAAACTTTTTACAATGCTGAAAAACGTTTAAAAAATACGTTTCTAACCAGAAAAGTAGCTAAGAAACCTTTTTACGTTTTTTAGCTTGGAAAAACTTCAACCACTTCAGCTGCAGGTCATATATATTGTTAGCCAAAAAACCATCGGGAAAACGTGACACGTGTAAATACTCTTATTTGCTTTTACCAATAAACACACAAAATTCACAATTTTACAACTCAATCAATCAAGATACATGTAAAAAACTGGAAAAAATGGCCGGGCGGGGATTGGGTTAGAATCGGGGTTTCGGGCGGGCACACTGTACGGAGCGATGGAAAAAATGGAAAATCGGACCCTGTCAGATTAAAAAATACATATAATATATTTCAAATTCAAAAAAATGGCGCTGTTCATGGAGCAACAATCGTCGATGAGTGGGTGATGCTAGGATAAAGCACAATATGTCGAGAGGAGCAAGAGGTTAAGGGGGGTGGTTGTGTCCGTATTTGTTGTGGCAAAGCAAGTGAGGATCGGGGGAGGCAATATTTTTAAGGGGCCTGGAAATGTATTTTAAAGGGGGCGCGGAAGTGAAAAAGCTATGGATTTTTGTAGTTTTTAGCATTTTTCATAGGTTAGGTTATAGATTTTACAAAATTCCGACTTTGATTTTGCTTAAAAAGTCGGAAAAACAGCGCTATAGGTTTTTTGCCTATAGATGTTCAGTCAATTTTCAGCGCGCGCGACACGCAACGCACCCGCGCGTCTTTTCGTTGCGTAATCGATTACGACAGTAAAACGCAGCGCGGAGTGCGGTGCGTGACGCGCGTAAAATTAAAACCTGAAAACCTTAGAAAAATCGACATGCAAAAATGTTGCCAGCCTCTTTAAAGGAACCTTTAAGGCCAAATCGCTGAATTCCCTAATTTTTCACTTCTTTCACCTCCAAAAACCATTTTTCACTTATTCTCGGTCCCTCAAAACATGTCAGTAATTTTCTGCAATCGAAAAACTCGAGGGAACGCGAACAAGTACCCGGGCCCCGGGGAAAGCCGCGTGTTTTTGTGCAGTTTAGTGCCGATAAGTGAGCGGGGCAGCGGGGCGCGATAAAGCGAACTGGTCATGATGGGGGGCGCACTATAATCTGGATAAATCATGGGCGATCGATATTCCTTCGGGTTGATATGCTTGCAAAAATCAGAAAGCCGAAATGGAAAATGCCGACATCGCGAAAAAATCGAGATTTTTAAATTCGTAAATATCAAAATGCCATTGACAATGTAGATATTTCAAAATACCCAATTTCAACATGCCGAAATTCATAATGCTAAAATTACAAAATACCGGCGTTGCAGAACGTCGATATTCTAAAATGACGACATAAAAAATGTCGAAATTTCAAAATGCCGACATTTCAGAATACCGAAACGCTGAAAATGTCGAAATTTCGGTGTTTACAACGTCAGAATTCCGCAATTTTGCACCAAAAATTTTGGAATTTCGGCATTCTGGCTTTCGAATTTTCTGAACAATTTAGAATCCCGAATATCGATCGCCCAGAAAAAAATTTAATAAAAAGAGATCGAGACCTGTACTGGCTGTTTATGTGGCGGGCCGGGGCGGGGAGAAGACAAGCAACTTATCAACGGGCGTCTACTAACAACGGTGTGGGAAAATAGGGGAAAATTGAAGCTGTACAAAAGACACCGGATTTGACGACGCGGGGCTAGCGCTGCGCGTGGATGCCGCGGATCTGTTGGTGGTGACCGGGTCGGACGGGGCCGCCACCCATCGGCATCAGCTCGTCGTCGGCGGTGGCCACGATTGTACGCCCGCGGACGACACGATTCCAACATCTGAAAAGAGACGATAAACGAGATATAAAAAGCACATAAAAATTCAAAGAATTTTAGTAGTTATAAATTTGATAAGGAAATCATAAGAATTTAAGGCATTTTCAATCTTTTTACTTTTTGGTCAAAAATGTATGAAAAATGGCCCAAAAAAGCCAAAATACACGAATTTTCTAAACTATTTTTTTGTAACTTTCTAGCAATCGAAACTACAAAAAAAGACGATCAAAACTTAAAAATTTTAACAATTTGCAAGTTTTTAAAAAGATTTTTTTTTGCAAATCGGTCTACTAAATATTGAAAAAAGGTAAAACGCGAGAGATGGAAAAAACTGACCGCTTATAGCTGCCCATCGTCTTGACGGACATCACCCAGATGGCGCACGTGACGCCGACGACGAGGTGGAGCAGGTACTGAAATGGGATACGTCAAGAAAGTAGCGTAAACCGCGTAGCTAGCGTAAAAAATACAAAATCGCCGAGAAAAACACTCAAAATCCCTTCAAATTTATTTATTTCATTTTTAAAATAAATAGTTAAGATTTTTAATCAAAAAGCTTATTTATTTTCGAAAAAATCCTAAAAAATGCATACCTTCATCACGAACAGCAAAATTTCTGGGGGCGCCGAGTCGGTGTTGAGCGGGGCGCACTCCTTGGCGGCGCGGTGGAAGCCGAAATCTGCACGCTGGGCGCTCGCACAGCGCTGCCCGTACCACGTCTGAAGAAAAAAACCGCGTTTTCAATGAGTTCAACAGGATTTGTAAAAGAATATAAAGCTTCGAAAGCGTAAAAAGCCAAAAAAAAACTGATTTACCTCGATCCAAAACGGCGTCTGCCTCGATTGGTAGAAGAGGATGCCGGCAAAGGCCGCCGTCGCCAACACGTAAATTGCCGAGAACCCAGTTATCCTAGAAAAAGCACAGATTCACAACAGGTTTTAGAAGACGCACCTCAACATGAGCTTCTCAATCTTGTTGATCAACTTCTCGACGTCGACCTGCTGCAGCTTGATGTATTTTCGGATGCGGACCATCGAGAAGATGCCCATCATCAGCAGCACGAGACCCACGGCTGAAGAAAAAAAGGTAAAAGTCCAGAAAAAAGCCATTTACTTAACGCCGATCCAATCGGGACGACAAGATACCAGAACAGGGCATCGCCCCTCAAGTTGCCGACCGAGCAAATTCCCGTGAAGACGTCGCCGTCGAACGAGTTGGTGATCTGCAAAATGGTGCATTAAAAGGTGGCTAAATGCAAATACATTTAGACGCAGCAAAACACGTTTCTTGGTACTGAACGGTTAGCGGGGGAGGGGGTTAGCGACCAGGAGAAATAAAAAATTTCCCCCAGTAATTTGGAAATGACCAATAACGGTCAAAATATACAAATTTCCAAAAAATTTGGAGCATTTTTATAACTTTTTATAAAACCCGCAACGAAACACCCAATTTTCATAGCATTTCGAGGCCGGAAAACGGAAACCTTTTTAACGTCTCGAAAAACTGACCAAGACGACGATGGACAGGATGCCGGGCAGACCCCAGGCTAGCGCGTGGAAGTGCAGCCACATCGACTCGATGAACTCGAAGCCCCAGTGGCGGGTGGCCGTCAGGAACCAGGCGAGGCACAGCACTACCCACCTGAAAATCATCAAATAGTTTTAATAGTGTAACAATTTAACAAATATTATTTATATTACTGCTTTTTTTGATTACATTGATTTTATTGGTTTAGCGACTTTTTAAAGGCACTGGTCGCACCACGCGCTGCCCCCGCTAACAGCGCAGTACCGTAGCGTCTTGCCCAGTAGTTTAAAGCTCAAAAACTACCTAAACTTTCGTTTTCCACAACCTAACTGTAGAAATTGAAATAGCTTAAAAATATACCGCTTTTTGCAGCAGCTATTTTCGCCAATTTGCTAAAATAATGTCGAAAACGCTTTGTCGGCATTTATTTTTGTCGAAAATCTGCCGTAATTTAGCAATTCTGATTTTCGATGAAGTGAAAAAATTAAACTCGGCCATTTTCACCCTCCAAAACGCACCAAACGCAGCTGGCCAGCGTGAAGAAGTAGTGGGCGACGGCGAGGGCGGAGCACGGAAACTTGTCGACGCCCTGGTTGACCAACTGGCTCTGGCCGGATGCGTGTTCGCCGCACGCGAACCTGTCGTCGCCAAAGACGCCTAAAAATGACTAAAAAAAAACGTTGCAAATCTCGCACCTATCATGTAGATGACCGACAGGCCAAAGTAGCACAGCGCCATGTAGAGAATCGGGCGCACCGGGTACTTGAATCTGAAAATGGTCGTTTTCAAAAAGGTTTCGAAACAAAAAACGCAGAGGTCTTAAGTTAATTTTTGACTTTCGTGAATTGTTCGGCTCAAAGCAGTTTCTCCTATGAGTTTGGAATGTAGTAATAAGTCGTTTTATAGCGTTTATAGCAAAGTTAACGATCTTTAAGGTGGCAAACTATCTAAAAACGTAGAAAAAGCTTCTAAATTCTGAAATTTAGTCGGATTTTTTGTATTTTTTACTAAAAATTCCAAAGTTTATATTTTAGTAAAGGCATGAACAAGAGGCGCATAAACCCTTCGACTATTTGTATTACAAGATACCAAAAAATTATACGGCAAAGCAGATTTTTCTACAAGAAAACTTCAAAAAGCGATGAACCTGGTGTTGAGATCGATCAAGAAGGTGCAGATGGTGAACAGCGAGCCGAAGAAGCACGCGACGGCGCACAGCCCAGTCCACAGCCGCAGCCATCTTCGGGTGCGCGCGTCGAAGAAGGTGGGCACCTGCAACAATATCGTTATCAAAACGTCCATTTTTGCAGCGTATTTTGACGATTTTGGATGTCAAAAATGACAAATTTGCAAAATCTACAACGTTTGAAAAAAACCCACATGAGCATCGGCCGAGCAGGGCAACGAGCACTCGGCGATCTTGCCGGCGTTGAGCTGGAGGAAGGCGCCGTTGAGGTGGAACGGGGTCTTCATCAACGACGGGCATTCCAGCTCGGCCGGGTGGTTGTGCGATCGGGCGGGTGGGGCGCTTGCTGAAAAAAATAGATTTAGAACGTCGAAAAGTACATTTTTCAGTTTTTATACTTTTAAGTGGCCATTTTTGAAGGTAAAAAAGGTTAAGCAAACGAAGCCGAATTTTGAAAACTGTCGAAAAACGCAGTTGTAAACACAAAAAAACCATTGCCATGATGATAGAATTCTAGAGAAGAGCAATTTGGCGAAAACCTAGGCAAATCTTCAAGCAAAAAAACACCCACTCGAGCTCTTGTTCTCGCCGACGCAAATCCCGTCGACCGGAAACAGGTTGCACTCGAGCTGCTCGGGCCAGTGGAAGCCGAACTTGTTCATCAACGTCTCGCAGCCGTCGCGCGCACTCTGGCACAGGTGGCGGCACGGCTGGATGGGCTGCTCGAGCACGGTGCACACCGGCGCGTAGCTGAAAAGCGGAAATTCGTTTGAGAAGGGAATTAAAGCTAAAAATTAGCCACAAATCAGGTGCTCAGAAATGCCCAAAAGCACGAAAGGTGCGCCGTCATTTTTTAAAAGTTTAATTAGAGGCAAAGCCATCGATTTTCCATATAGTTTTGATTAGAAGGGAAAATAAAACTATATTAACCCGCCCAGGTTAGAAAAGCGAAAAAAGGATTAGTTTTTGCCAAGGGGCGCCCAAGAGGAAACGCTGAGAAGGACCACTATCCATAACCAACTTTTCCGCCATTTTTTGGCACATCGTGAAAGCCTAAAATTGCCCGGAAAATCGTAAATATAACCTTTTCAAAATGTATAGATTTTCAAGACCTAAAATTGTCCGAAAAATCTTAAATATAACGAAAAAAGAAAATGCATACATTGTGCAGAGGAAAAGCTTGATGTCCTCGCTGCACTTGACCTTCATCAACGGCTGGAATTGGCGAATCGCTTCCTCGGCGTCCTATAAATTTCGATAAGCCAGAATTAACACCAAATACCTTCTCATTCTGGTGGTTGAGCAAATTCGGGTAGACGGTCAGGTTGTACTCGAGGTCTTGGCATGAGTGCATCGTGATGGGCACGCATTTCTGAGCGGGAGATTTGTGGAGAGGCTGAAAATAGAGGGTACAGCATTGAAAGAGAAGCAAAGGTAAACTCAAAACTATAAAAAGCTCACCGGGCTGTAAACTGCAGAATCCTGAAAGCTGGCGTGGGCCAGGAAGGCCAATATGATGAGTTGTGTCCAGGCCATCATCTCACCTCATTATCCTGCAATAAAAGGAGGATTAAATCGATAAGAGAAAATTTTTCACGATAAGAAAATGGAAAGCATCTAGACAAAGCAAAAATCAAGCGGATCACCTAGAAAAATCAAAAACTGGCCCGAAAAATACGACGTTTCTATATATCCTACAAAATTTTTTTTGATCTTTCACAATGAAAAAAAGGTAAAAACGTCACTAAACAGCAAAAAAACATCAGAAATAGTCTAAAATCGCCAAAAATTACGTTTTGCCTACAAACCTACGTTCTTCAGGAAAAAAAGCCAAAATCGACTAAAAGCAGGCTTCCGATGCCCTGTGACTCATCTCGTCATCGTCCTATGTCGAAATTAGATGCCCCCCCAGGCGTTAGATCCAAAAATATGACCATTTCAAGCCCCCAATTCACGCACAATAATGCGTTATTGGCATTCGGAACACATAAAAAACGAGCGGCGACTAGTTGAGAGCCCCCGATGCCTCCGTGTTCCATAAAAATCGCATAAAACGGTCGAGAGGCTGGGGCAGGCCAAAGAGGGGGCGCTTTCGGGGCTCAGGTGAAACCTATAAGTGTCACCGTTTAAGAGGATTAACGGTTTGTGCCTAACCGGGCGCGAAAGTTATCTAAATTAGGTATAGATGTAGAAAGGTAGAAGCTATCGCTAGTTTCTAATTGCCGAATTTCGAAACCCAATTCTTGTCCGTGAAGCAATCGGCAAACGGCTTTGTGTGTCCAAAAAGACAGCTGAATTAGTTAAAATGGTCAATAGGTAGAGAAAACGGGACTCAAAGGTGGCAAAGCACCTTTAATTACCACCATAATTAAAAAATTTAGAAAACGGCAGCTATTACTAGAAGCACTTCAAAAAAGGGCCTGCTTCCCCTAAATACAATTCAATCGATTAGCAGCGCTCGATACGTATAAAAAAATGTCTAGAAATGTCGCATCAGGCTCGAAATTGACGAATAAACGTAATCCAAAATGATAGCCTGAAAAAGTAAGTTTACTGACTTAACCGAATAGTAGGGAATGGAATAAAAAAAATCCGGGATTCTTTCCAGAAACTCGAAATCCACTAGCAAAGGACGAAAACGAGTGTAGATAATTTAGAAAGAAGAAGAATGAAAATACAACCCTAGGTGTTTTCAAATTTCTAAATCGCAACCAAACAAAGCCCAGGATAAGTCTAAAAGGCTTTCACAAGCTCATAAAACTCCAAAATCATCCAAAAACCAAAAATAAGCCAATGTTGCAACCGGAAATGATCGCAGTAATGAAGACGCCACTGACATCCTTTCAAATTCAAACAGCCCAAGTCCCAAAAGCCCAAAAAGTAAGTGTAATTCCCCTCGCCAAACAGTCGCCGGGGGCCATAAATTGGCTCGGAATGGTGAGAAAGCCCATCCCGAATCGTGTTTATGCCATTTGATGGGGTGTGTGCGTGTAATTGGATTGGGTGGCTGGGGGGTAGTTAGATGGGCTATATGGCTATGGGGGGTCAGGGGTCGCGACACCCCATTCCGGGGTGCCGGCCAATGGACCCATAAATCAATCGGGGCTGAATAACGCGCCCAGGCAAGGCAAGGCAAGGGCGGAGGGCTCGCTTGCTGCTGGGGCTGGCTCCTCCTGCTCCTCCCCCCTCCCCTCACAGCCACTGGCAATAGACACCAAGACAGACAGACGGACAGACATACAAACGGGCAGACAAACCGCTGGCCCCTCCTCCCTGGCTCCATCCCCCGAGGACTCTCCGCCCCTGGCTGATGCTGCTGCTGCTGGTGATGGCCACAGACTACGCGACGTCCCGGTCCCGGTATTTTGAATTGGATAATGAGGTGGTGAGGAAGCTCGAGCAGAAACCTTGGGTTCTTTCGCATTCGACGGGGGGGCAACCTTTTTTTTGCTAGTTAGCATCAAATTTCTCAAAAATCATAGCGTAAGTGTGTGGCAGCGGGTTTTTACTATGCCTAAACGTAAAGAACTTTACAATTTTTTATTAAAAATACAAAACATATCGATTTCTCGACCAGAAATGTCCGTTTTTCACCAAAATTGCGAGTTTTTAAAACGTCTCCAAGGTTTCTAGATAGTTTTTCGAGTTAAAATATAGCTTTATTTTGCTAAAAACAGGAAAATGCTTCCTACTACGTTACTAGACATTTCCAGATGAATAGGAAAATACCTCCCCTCCCCGATAATGCGAAAGAAACAACGCATCAACAAGTGACACCCTAACCTTCCGGCACTTATTGTTAGCTAAAATTTAAAATTCTGGCGGGGTATCGAAAACACTTATCGGCTTGCCTGCCCGTGACATCTACAGGAGCAACGACTACTTATTTCGCTTGACAATCGACGAGTCAACGACTTCTTCAAAGAAATTGGCTACAGATGCGCGAAGTACGCTTCTGTACGACGAAAAGGCGACACGCTTGAATCAACCTTCTTGCTCTTTCCACTTCCGTTCTCGCTGCACCTCAAAAGCCTATGAAAATCACATTAAAATACACTTGATCAAAACGTCGGTTTCTCGCAAAGCATTTCTCGTGTGTAATGTATTTATTAATCCTCGAAACAACCATAAAAAAGGTAAAGACATAGAAATAATACCCGGAAATTGATGGATCAGATGAATCGATACGGGGGAATGAGTACGTGCGCAAAATTCATAATAAAGGGATCGAAAAATGAGAAAATTACAAGTTTTGATGAATTCCTAAAGTCTAAAAAGATACAAAGTAAAGTTACGCGGGGAAGTTGAAAACATTTGAGGAGCTTTGCGGTTGGTCGGTGTCCATGTCGGCCTCGCTGCCGTCCTGCACCGACGCGCTGAAGTCGTAGCGGTTGGAGAGGTTGCTCAGGTCACGATGAAGCTCGTCAGAGGCCGCCTTGTCGAGGGCTAAAAATCAAATAATAGAATAAACTCTAACGCCAATCCACAAGAAACTTAAACTTTAGTGAAATAAAACTCGATTTGAACTAGAAAAACTACCTAAAAACGTTAAAATATTTTCAAAAATTCGAAATTTTGGTCAAATACGGCCATTTTTGGTCGTAAAACCGATATTTGTTGTATTTTTTAATAAAAAATTGTATATTTTTACGCTTAAGAATATTAGAAAGCTGTTTAGAAGCACTTCCGCTATTTATTTTGAAAAATTGGATGCTAAGAAAAAAGTTGTCCCCCCGATAATGCGAAAGAACCTCTAGAAAGTCTTTCATACTTTTTAATCTTAAAATCCGAAAAAACCGACCAACTGCTTGCGACGTGGACCAGGTGGTGCCCTTGTGCGCCTGGCCGATGCAGATCTGCGACAGGTAGTCGAGCTGGCTGGACAGGTCTCTCTAAAACAAAAAAAAGATTCCGATATTGCCAAAATCACACCTCTATCGACTGGACGTGCTTCTTGAAGTTGGCGCCGAACTCGTCGAATTTGGCCTGAATTATCGACGTTGAAAAAAGTAAAAAATCCCATACCCTGGTCGTTTGCTTCTCCTTCGCCAGCTCGCCCAGCGTCAGCGACACGTACTTCAGGGCGTCGGGTATCCGCGCTTCGACGTCTTCCAGCTTAAAAAAAATCGTTAAATAAGGAATTTAACTATTTAAAACGCTGATAAAAACGATCTTTGGCATTTTCGGGGGGAACAAATTTTTTGCCTATGACCCAGTTTTTTAAATATAAATAGCGGAAGTGTTTCTAAACTGTTTTTTACTATCCTTAGACGTAAACTTTACAAATCTTTTATTCAAAAAGCATAAGATATTAATTTTTCAAACTAAAATTGCCGTTTTTACCAAAATTACCACTTTTTGAAAGTTTTTACGTAGTTTTTCTAGTTGAATTCCGTAATTCCGGTAAAAACCCCACCACTTTCTGCCGGTCGATGGGGATGGGCTCGGGCGTCTCGGTGGGCGGGTTGCCGAGGTTCGGGTCCATTTTGTGTGTGTTGTAATACCTGAAAAATCGGTATAAAATGTGCCTTAAAATTGCGGAATTCGCGAGAACAAATGGAAGACATAAAGCAGCAAAAAGACAATGCCACCGGAAGAAAATAGCGTTGCTTTTGGCGTGAATTTTGGAAAACGCCGAAGCGGCCTGAAAAAATGCCTCTTAAAATACATTTAAAAGACGACTTTTTACGGCTCAATTGCCCTTTTTTAATTTTTTTTTCGAAAAAGAAAGGCCTAAATATATGTGGGATATGTATCAAAAGTATAGAAAACCTCAAGAACACAATTTAGAGCTAAAAAGGATGCTGAAAAGCACGAAAATAGCATTAAAATACATTAAAAACACTATTTTTTTCGGATAATTTACCATTTTCCCCTATATTTACTTGAAAACATTGTAAAAATCTTTATAAAAACGGGCTGTGACGTCTCTGAAGAAAACGAATACTTAATAACAAGAAAATAGCATTAAAATACATTAAAAACACGAATTTTCGGTTGAATTTTCAAAAACCGGTGCTCTTTTGCGGTTAGGAGATGCTCCTAAATCGTGCACCGGGCAACGTAGCGCCCCAAATAACCCGTGGTAAGCGGACCAGCTGATGCTCCCCGTTGAAGCCGGAAACGGGCCCGGAAAACAACCGGCTTTACAGCTAGGCAGCGGCTTGAAAACCTAAATTTGCTTTTGATTTGTAAAGTAAAAGGCCGGTGGTTTAGTTGGAAGCGCGATGCGTTGGAGCTGGATTCGATGATCGAGCACAAATCCCGGAATCGCCTGCCTAGCACTAGTACTTCGCCAATAGCAAGTCGGTTGAATTGTGCATAAAAGAAAATAGATTGCAGTTTTTCAATACATTTTAGACGTCTTATAAAACAAGACGATTAATGAAATAGAGTCGATTCGAGCTTCCGGGACTGCAAAACCTGAAAAAACACCTCAGAAATTGCGAAAACAATGAAGAAGAACTGGTTTTTCAGTGCGAAAAAGCAAATTTTAATTGAATTAAAGCCGTTCAACTTTTACAATGTCCTTATACGTGTCGTTTTAAATTTCAAATAAGGGTTTTCTTGGATGAAATAGACATTTTTACAGCTCTTTTCGTGCTGAAAAACCTAGAATATTCTTCAATTTTCGCCAAAAATCAGAATAAAAACTCATAAAGCTTTTTCTAACCTTCAAATATTTAGCAAATCGATTACGCCACGAAATTCGAAACACCTATCGATAGTAGCGTTTCGGAAATTTCAGACTCTCTTCTGAAAAATTTTTAAAATTACAAAGATAAATTTAAGACTAAATTAAAGCAACAAAAATTATATTACTATTTAATTCATTTTTCACAATTGTTATCTGTAAATTCGGAAGGTTTTTCTATAAAAATAGGTAATCCGTGTAGCGGGCGTCTCCCGTGCGACGCGTTCCGTTACGCAATGGAACATGGCGTTGCGCAACAGCTTGTACGCACTTGTTTTTCGCGTCTAAAAGCTTCAGGCTTGAGTTTTAGCCCAAAAATACCCTTAAACTGTAGAAACTGATAATTTTACAGTCGGTTGCCGCGTGTTGCCCCTCGACTCGGGCTTCTCATCGCCGAAAGAGTGCGCCATCACGCCGCCCGGCGTCCTGACCAAGTTCGACATCTTGAAGCCGGTGGGTTCAGCTAGCTCAGGATTGGCTTGGGCTTGGCCTAGGCTTTGCTTAGACTTGGCTTAGGCTTATCTTAGGCTTGGGTTAGGCCTGGCTTAGGTTTGGCTTATGCTTGGCTTAGGTGTGGCTTGAGCTTGGCTTAAGCTTTGCTTAGGCCTCACTTGGGATTGGCTTAGGCATGGCTTAGGCATGGCATAGGTTGGCATAGGCTTGGCTTCGGCGTGGCTTAGGAAAAAAAAGAATCTTCTAAAATCAGAAACAAATGATAAAAATAAATTTAGAATCGCGGGATGACGATCGAAGGGACCTCGCCGATGGCGTCGCCGCGTTTTCGGCAGAACTCGCTGGCCGCGTCGCCGACGCCGACGGTGACCAGGTAAGAATGAAGCTATCTTGAAGGACCCGTGAAGGCAGGGGATGCTGTAGCTTTAAAGGTACTGGACTGTCAGCGGGGCGGGGTGGTTTAGCCCGGGAAACCGGGGAAACCATTTTCAAAGCATTTCAAGCAGTGTTTAACTAGTTTGATTAGTTAATAACCGATCATAAAAATTTAACCCCGCTAACAGCACAGTACCGATTTAAATAGTTTAAAAGTCATCTTTAAAGGGGAAACCATCTTTAAACCATGTAAAGCAGTTTTTAACTAGTTTAATGAGTTAATAACACGTAAAAAATTATCCCCCGCTAAGAGTCCAGTGCCAATTTAAATCGTCTAAAAAGTCATTGAATTAAAAGTAGTTTGATTTCTAGTTTGATCTCCCTTTTTTCGCATCTGGATTGCCCGGGGGCATTTATGGATACCTAGTGGGTGGGGTCAGAGAGACATGAGAGACACCGACAGACAGACAACCAGATAGACAGACGTCATCTGCAATTTCCAAGACGTAATCTACTAGGCAATATGGAACCGGAAATTCCCCGGGTATCCCCAACTTCTACTACCAATAATCATAATACCTCATCAATGCTCGACTACCTTAACGTTTTCCTAAACGGCGCCCAGCAAGAGCAATCACAGGCAGCTGCCGTGAAAGAAAATTAAGTTTTTGGGTTTAAAAAGAGATTATTAGGGAATTGGTAAGCTAGCAGAGATTTTTTAGGAATGGGCAGGCTAGCAGAGATTTTTTAGGAAAGGGGAGGCTAGCAGAGATTCTTGAGGAAATAGCGGCGGCCATTGGGGAGGTTGTAAGGGGCTACTAGCAACGATTTTTGGAGAATTTGGGCAAGCTAGCAGAAATTCTGGCGGATTTTTTCCATGATTTTTCATAATTTTTACAATTTCAGGGCACCCGACCCGCCGAAATGCACGTGCTGCAAGACGGTGGCCAAGGACTCGGGCAGGGTGGCCTTTATGTGCAAAACCTGCTGCATGCAGTCGTGTGAGTTTTGTTTTGTTGTCGTTAAAATCGCGGCACTTTCGCATTACCGGGGGTGGGGCTGGAGAACTTTCAGAAATTTAACTAATTTTAATTAAACCAGGGTTGAAAAGCCGCTTCGCGACTTTTCAACCCTGGCCCCGTCTAACCTCATTTTATCCTTCACTTTGCATAATGGTACTGAATTCAGATGACAAAAAATGAAAAACAACCTCGTCTGTGCATTTATATAGTCGAATCACCATTTCCGGTCTATGCTAATTATTTCCTAACAAAGAAGCTTTCACAAAAACTTAAATTTAATGTCGAAAATGGCTGATTTTGTAAAATTTGATATGTGTGCAGTCATCTCAAGGCCATTGCGCACCTAATGACGTATCACACATACCCGTAACTTCCTCCCCTATTGAGATATCCTCCGGACAGACAGACGGAAGTGGATGCAAAGTGGCACACACACACACAGACACACACACAGACACTATTTTTTTTATATATAGTAGGATACTATATTTTTAATACCCCAATTTTTCAGTGCGTTTTATGGCCCGAAAGGAGCAGATCCTCACCAAAAGCTACAAAAACCAAGAGTTGGAGAGGGAGGCTGAAGGGCTTTTTATGAATGTGGTGAGTATGAGATACTGTATGCCAGGATTACGGTACTTTAAAGGGTCCGGAAGTCAAATTCCGTAGGTCAGGCAGGTTAGCAGAGATTTTTTAGGAAAGGGCAGGCTAACACAGATTTTTTAGGAAAAGGTAGGCTAGCAGTGATTCTTTAGGAAAGGGCAGGCTAGCAGGGATTCTTTAGGAAGGGGCAGGCTAACACAGATTTTTTAGGAAAAGGTAGGCTAGCAGAGGTTTTTTAGGAAAGGGCAGGCTAACACAGATTCTTTGGGAAAGGGCAGGCTAGCAGAGATTCTTTAGGAAAGGGTGAGCTAGCAGAGATTTTTTAGGAAAAGGCAGGCTAGCAAAGATTCTTTACAGAAACTACCATTAATTCGTAATTTCCCCCATTTTTAGCACAAAGACCAGATGGAAATCGAGGACCTCGAGGCGCGAGTTTCAGCTTTGCGGGAAAAGCGCGACAGGCTGAAGAAGAAGATCTCGGTGAGTACGCGAAACTACAAACCACACCCCACGCTACGCTACAAATGACACCCAGTGACGCCCTTGTGTGTTTAGGAGGAGCGGAAGGAGAAGGAGCGCATCCAGAAGCACTACACGGAGCGCGTGATCAATTTGTGCACCAAGATCCAGGCAAGGTTTTTTAAATAGAAAGAATTTATTTAGTCAGCCCAAAATAGAAAATATTAAATTAGGTACTGGACTGCTAGCGGGGGACCAATTTCCGTAGTAATTTTGCAAGGCCCTATAACAAAATATAAACCATTTTATAGCATTTTATACGTTTTTTAGATATAAAAACACGCAAAACCGGTATTATAAAATTACGAATGTTATTTTTGGCAAAAAATCTCAGAAAAATGACCAAAATACAAAAAAATCTGACTTCGATATTTTTAAAAATTGCACATGATTTTCCAGCAATAAAAACGAACTAAAACACTATAAAATGTAAAAATGATGGTATATTATCAAAAGCTAGGTATGTGGGAAAATCGAATTTGCCCCCCCGCTAACAGTCCAGTACCTGAAATTATACAAAAAAAATTCCAGGCAAAAGAGCCGGTGCTGGCGAAAAGCGCGGACGATAAAGCGGCGAGGCAGGCGAAACGCGAGGAAACTCTTGACGGGCTGAAGCATGATGTGAGTGAATTTTATAGTATTTAACTTGCCGGGGATTGGGCAGGCTAGCAGGGATTCCTTGGGAAATTCCGGGCATCAAAAATAACCGGCCCAGGCCATATGGCAAAGAAACTTTCCGAATTTAGCGGGGCCTCTAGCAGAGATGCCTTGGAAAAATTTGGGGGGCTCGCAGAGGTTCTTCGCGGAAAAAGGCAAATATTCGGTTAAGATGGCCCTGCGGAGACAGGAGCATTGTCTTCGGCTATTCGAAATGTTCCCAATTTGCGAGGTTCGCCCGGATATGGAGGCATCTACAGTACCCTCGACAAAGTGAGTAAATCCCTCTCTCTCTCTCTCTCTCTCTCTCTCTCTCTCTCTCTCTCTCTCTCTTTCTGTCTCTCGGTCTGTCTCTCGCTCTCTCTCTCTCTCTCTCTCTCTCTCTCTCTCTCTCTCCCTCTCTCTTTCTGTCTCTCGGTCTGTCTCTCGCTCTCTCTCTCTCTTTCTCTCTTTCTGTCTCTCGGTCTCTCTCTCACTCTCTCTCTGTCTCGCTTTCTCTCTCTCTCCTTTTCCCTCTCTCTGTCTCGCTCGCTCTCTCTCTCTCTCGCTCTCTCGCTCTCTCTCTCTCTCTCTGTCTCTCCCTCCCCCTAAATTTAATTTTTCCACGTTTAGCAGGGACGCTTGGGCTGTTCTACAGGGAGTTCTACCCCATCCGGTCCAGAAGAGCGCAACCCCGCCAGAATTTATCAGGTTTCAATTTTATCGTAATTTATTGAGTTTTAAAAAGACATTTAATGACTTAAATCGAATTCAAAAGGGTTTTTAAACATTTTTGCCAGGTTCGCGACATAATCTGCGGACTGGAGTGGGAAAAGGCGCGCGACGACCTCGCAGAAAAGCTCAAGGAGGGAGCGTTGTCCCTTCCCAAACAACTGCATCAACAATTGGTGGGAATATATTTAAAATGCTTAAAAAAAGCAGGCTAGCAGAGATTATTTAGGAGAGGTCGGCTAGCAGAGATTCTTTAGGAAAAAGCAGGCTAGCAGTGATTCTTGAGGATTCATAAATCTCGCTGATTTCAGGGTTCCCTCGTGCTGACCGTGGAGCTCGTCTCCAACCTTCTCCAGGTCAACGATGTCGTCATCGCCCACGGGGTAGGCTATTAAAGGGAACGGAAACCCAGGATTCCCGTAACAATCGCTGCTAGCTGACCCTTAAAACCCACTAAATCAATTCAGATTTCGCTACGGGACACCTGGGTCGACCCAAAGTCCGCATCGTGGACGTCCGAAATTCTGGACAACATTTGGTTCAAGCTGTGCTACTCGGTGTACGCCCTCTGCGTCGCGTACAACCTCAGCCAAACGGTAGGCCTCGCGGGGAGTACAGGGCAAACTAGCAGAGAGAAGTTGGGGAAATCGCGAAACTAGAGAACCCCCCCAAAAAAAAAAAAAAACGATTTAAAATTGCCTGAACAGCAGCTTCGCACGACGCCTTCCGTGAACTGCTCGTAGACGCTGGCCGGGGTGTTGTGCTTCGGCTTGACGTCGCTGACCATTCGCCCTGAAAAATTGGGATAAAGCAAAGTCTCAAAGCAACTCTGCTAGCCTGCCCTTTCCTAAAGAATCGCTGCTTGTTTCAGGAAATCTCCTTCGGCGCCCCCCACCACAATCTGATCCAGCTGGCCAATTATATGGCGAGCGGCCCCGTGCCGGTTAGTTAACAGAACTTTAAGCTAAAATTAAATTCCTGAAAATCAGATCTAAAAGTAACTTTTCAAAAGGGATTAATTCACATAATTAAATGCAAATTATTCAGCCGCTCGTGCCGAATCTGATCGACGTCGACAACGAGTTGGCGATTCGCGAACGGGACCATATGGTATCTTTCTATTTTCAGCTTTTAAATTTTTATTCCGTACTAATTTTTATTATTGATTTATGTAGTAAAAAATAATTTGGACAGTTATTTATCTTTTGAATGCTTAGCTTTAAATTAATTTTCAAAATAAAATTTAAATAATTTTTTGATGTTAAAGTAATTAAATTTTTAATACATCTAAAACCAGCAAATTTTGCAGGCCGAATGGGACACGTGTGACGACTTGGACAGTCTGGCTGAGATGAAGATTACGTAAAAACCTTGGAAAAAATCGATGGCTAAGCCGAAATATACTATAAAAAATTGTACCATATCACTGTAAATGGCTGACTTTGTAAAAAAACCGCCGGTCTCTACCGTACCTCGCTGCCCCACACGTCAATTTTGTGATTTTCTGTCACTGCTCACGCTGCCCTTAGAAAAAATATTTCCGATTTTTTTCTATCCCCCGGATTTTGCTGGTGATTTACAATTTTAAGCTGGTAATATTTGCGAATAAACGTTTTACAAATTAATTTGAATATTTTGTTACTAATTTTATCAAAAAAAAATACAGAAGGAATCGGCTGTTTGATCAAAAATAGACGGCTTTAGTTCAATAAATAAAAAATTTTGTAGGATCTTTAGATAGTTTTCCTTGAATGCTAAAAAGCCGGCAAACCAGCAGAAATTCTTTAGGAAAGGCCGGCTAGCAGAGCATCTTTAGGAAAGGGTAGGCTAGCACAAATCTTTCAAAAATTCGTAAAAATCCACCTTTCGCCGTCCGGTTCCCAAAATCGGCATCCGTGTGTTGTTGATTGAAGCGCCGAGTAGATACCTGAAAATCAGCAACATTAAATGCAAAAGGAGAACGACGTTGAGCACGAGGGAAGCATTATAAGTTTTTGGGCGTTAAAGACCAGCAAACTAACATACAAAACTATCCTAGCTACGTTATTACAACGCAATTTTTGTCTCCGAAGGCCCGGGGCAAGTGGAAAGAAGCTTCAATGACGCCAAGCGTTGAAACAAGCCAGCAGAGACGGCCGTTCCAAGGCATCTTTATAAGCTCATCCCGTCACAAAAGAAAAAGGTGTAATTATAGAACTAATTATCATAAGGAATAAAATTAAAATTTAAGTTAAAGAATTAAATAAAGTAATAATAACGAATTAAACGGATGAATGAGCAAGGAAATAGCGATTCTCGAAATAACCTACTACAATGCAGATAAAAGTGAACTAACAAGCAGCTGTTTTAGGCGCCTTTGGAATTTTTGCGATGTCAATGTAGCCAACGAGCATGGTGAAAATTAGCACTGAAAGGACCGATTATGCCCATTTTCGGAGCGCGCTCGACAAGATAGATACTTTGAGATAATCTTTCTCGGCGACCGTTATGGTTGAGCAGTTTTTGCAAGATGGGAATTTGCTGAGAATTTAAAGCGCTATCCAATGAGCCGTGTCACACTGCAAAACGCCCAAAGCCACGGAAAAGCCTCATTGTAACCTAAAAAGAACCAAAGTTTTTGTCAGGCGCGCCGGGGAGCCGAAATAGATTGCGCTGGGGGCACGCTATTCTGCCGTTGCGTGGAGCGCTTTGTACTCGACAGCGTTTAGGGCAGTTGTGGCATGATTGCCCTTTACAACGCCTTGAAAAGCAAAAAAAAACATCCGCTTTTCGAGCCCCCGGTCACATTTCGGTGCAGAACCAGGCGAAACTCGCGTGTCAGACTCGAGAAAAGATTTATTTGATCGCGTCAATAGAAGTAAACAAGATAAAATCAAAGTTTTCCGCTTTCAGACGAGAGAGAGAGAGAGAGAGAGAAGGTGAGAGAGAGAGAGGGAGGGAGAGAGAGAGAGAGAGAGAGAGAGAGAGAGAGAGAGAGAGAGAGAGAGAGAGAGATTAGGGCGTATCCGCTTCCAACACTTGCTGCCAGGCGCTGTTGTAACAATGCTCCGAAATGGCGTCGCGGCCTCGCCTCACTTCATCCGGACACCGCCAAAACTGGCCGCCGGTTGCCGCAGAATCCTGGAAGAATTGGCAGCAGGCGACGTATTCCCCCGGCTCGCCAATGTGCGGCTTTTTCTCGACGGAGATGCTGCAGGGCCCGTCCCGATCATCCCACAGTTTCCCAAGGATGCACCTGGTCAGAAATTGCTGCATATCCTCCTAAAAATGTCAAATTTTTGTAAGATACAAAGCTCCGGTTGCCGGCTTCGCAAGCGTTTTCGTGCTGCATGGAAGTCACCAGAAAAGGGAAAGTTGTAGGTTTGATAATTATAGTTATATGAATTATAGGCCACACCTCGCTCCGGTCAGCAGCCATTAAGAATTCGATGAAGATCGTTCGCGTTTTCCCGTTGGTCGGCGGATACTAAAGAACGAGTACCTTTTGCATGCTTTACCGCCATGATGCCAAATTATTATAATGACAAAATGCGTGCTTGAGTCTTCGTGGGGAATGGGGGGAGCGATTCTTTTTTCCTATGGTTGGCCCAGTAATCGAGTTAACTGTATTTGAAGGGCAGAAACGTTCTCAAAAGTAGGAAAATGCTTGAAAAAGTCGAGATTTTGGTAATTTTGTGCTCTAAAAAAATGTCGATTTTCGAGTTCAAATATAACTTTTTTTTAGAAAAATTTGCAAAGTTTTTTCGTAGGGCAATGATTAAAAGAACGCTGCATAACAGTTTCCCGATCCACATAAAAAAGCTAGGCTTCCACCGGAAAAAGTTGCCACCCCCCGCGAATACACAAGTTCCGCAAAATGTCATAATGGCAATGCTGCTATCGTAATGTAACTACAGAAGAGGCGATACCCGGAGTGCCCTCCTCAGCACCATGCGCGTATCGGCGCATTTGAAAAGGCTGCCGAGGCTGCGGGACCGTATGAAGTACAAAAAGCGCATGGACGACAGCTGAAAAGGGGGGATGAATTGCGTTAATTTGGCCGACATTCATTTCACCGAATCTCATTTCGTCGAAGGCTATTCGTGTGTGCTTATCTGCTTTCAGAAATGTTTTTGCCACGGGGTGAACGAGAGCCAGCATTGAAAAGTCGCGAACACAACACGCAATCCTGGCATCTCTCGAAAAACTGCTTTTACCTGATCGAAAGCTGCATTGATCCTCCGTTGTCTGACTGGATACTCTTCCACCGCGAGGGGGGAATCCTCTGCCATTCCCCTCAGCAGCACGATCTAATTGATTCCGGGCAATATGTCGATAAATCAACGAACGTACCGCAACGTCGGATTGCAAACGGTCGACCTGCAGCAGCCACGAATGATGACGTGTAGTCCGCTTAGTGATCGTTATACATGGCTGTCGGAGGAGGTGGAAACACGACGGAAACCCCTTTAAATCAACCAATCAATGTTTTACGTAGTAGAGCAAAAAGGGTGCGCGTGGAAGGGCATACCATCAATTCGACTCGACGTCGCCAACCAATTGTGCTGGCTGATGCGACATCAGGGCCGTCCGTACTGGAATCCGCCCGGAAGCTCAGCGATGCTGGGCGCAGGCTGTGGAAAAATGCGTTTAGCAGTTTTAGCAGCTGGGATGGGGTCGCCGTGAGTTGCCATCGAACTGGGCGCCTGAAATCAAACTCATGGTAGTGACAAACCCTTTATTTCTGGTTAGGATTCGGTTTAAAAAAGCTCAGGTGAAGCGCTGTTTTGTCGCTCCCTATTCGGCACAATTCACTTGCCCTAGCGATGGTTGGAGGAGGGTGAAATGGACGACATCATCTGTCGTATCGTCAATGCACCAAAGTATACTGATGCGATCTTCGGCGCTAATGCAATCAATTCGAAAGTTCTGAAATGGAAACAGGTTCTTTTTGTTCTTTTACACCAAAACTTATATGGTTGATTTTAAAATTTTCATTGCATTAAACTGGAAAAAAATTGGAAAACCAGATTCTCGAATCGTATTAAAACTCGAAAAAGGGATCGTGGAGATGGTGAAAAGCACAGAAAGTCCTACCGCATCGTCCAAAACGACGCCGATGTCGAGAATTTTGTGGCAGGTTGCAGTCACGTTCGATCCACACAGCCAATCTCTCCTCTAAAAAGGTAAATTCGATTTAAGGGCGCTGGGGGAGGAGCACGAAAATCGACCACTATGATCGGAAAATCTGTTCTTTGACGCTCTTTAGTTGCGGATATGGTCAGAAACTACGCACCTTTGTGGCTTGCCGGAGAAATGACTTGGCCCAGAATGACAAATGGGCACAGGTTGCCTGTTGCAAAACGGATGGAAGATTGTTGAAGGGAAATTGCAATGGCATTGAGGGGAATTGACCAGGACCAGAATGAGCCCTGCAGCCGTAGCGGTAATGGATTCGGCGGCAGATGGCCAGGGCAACGCTCAACTTGTCGCAACACTAAAGCAACCGGTAGCGCGCGCACCGCCATTGATGCGTCGTTCCGAAAAACTGTATTCTTCAATGGTTCTTCAAGTCACAGCAATTAGCAAACAACAGTCGAAAAATGGTAATTCGGGCGAGCACTGGGTCCGGTTCAAAAAAAAAACACATAGCCAGAAACCTTCAGTATCAATCGAAAAAAGTTTGCTCTACAAAAAATTAATTAATGGTCAAAAATACGGAAGAAACATCATAAAAAAACAGTGATGCACGGTCAACAGGACGGGATTTTCGTAATTTTTATAGGGGGGGTTTGTGCCAATGCAAAATAGTGCAATTCTGCTAATTCGACCATGTGCTTCGAGACGCCGCCAAAAATCAGGGTTGAAAAAGTGATCGCTCACCATGCAGTTTATTTTGCGAATACCTAATTAGAATCCAGTGCTTAGCATGCCGTAACCGGATATTTGGGGGGCATCTTCTCCCAAAAATTGGAATGAGTGCCGATTGTTGCGACGAATCCCCCGAACGCTGAGGCTCTACGCGACGACGGCCAAGATGTGTTGCGGGTCAAAGTCGCAACGCGCAAAGGTGGGCCGGAGGAGGATTAAAGGGATTGGCAAGACATGGGTGGCTAGGGATTCTGCCGCGCCGCGACACGCAACGCAGCCGCTCGTCAAGGGATCGTAATCCATTACGCTCAAGAAAGCCGGGCGTGTGCGTTGCTTGTCGCATCGCGTGCGCTGTTAATGCCTCTCGTTCCTTTAAAGGGACTAGAAACCTAAAACCCTGTCCCCTAGAAACCAGATAGTGAGCCCCGCACCCTGCCCGCCCTCAACATTGCCGACTCATCGAAGAAGACACCACGAGCCTCGTAGGTCTTCTATGGATTTGACTTCACCGCCCCTTTAAAGTACCGTATACCAAAAATTTGATTTTTAGGCAACGCCAAGACGGGGCGGCACGCTGGGCTAACGCGCCGCCACCAAAGGCCGCCGAGCCATCGTCGGATAACACGCTCAAGGGGGTGGGACACCTAGTTTCCTAAAGAATCTTTGCTAGCCTGCCCTTTCCTAAAGAATCTCTGCTAGCCTGCCCTTTCCTAAAGAATCTCTGCTAGCCTGCCCTTTCCTAAAGAATCTCTGCTAGCCTGCCCTTTCCCAAAGAATATCTGCTAGCCTGCCCTTTCCTAAATCATCTCTGCTAGCCTGCCCTTTCCTAAAGAATCTATGCTAGCCTGCCCTTTCCTAAAGAATCTCTGCTAGCCTGCCCTTTCCTAAAGAATCTCTGCTAGCCTGCCCTTTCCTAAAGAATCCCTGCTAGCCTGCCCTTTCCTAAAGAATCTCTGCCAGGTACCCGATGAGATGCCACAATATATGGACTACCAAGTGAAGGAGCTGATCTTTACGGAGGATCAGCTGTGATGCGTGTCAATTCATTCATTCGTGGTCGTCGTCTACAACTACTCGAATCGATATCATAATAATGCTAATTACTTCTTCCATTAATATTCCGTCAACGTGTGTTCAGATTGATATTTGTATCCAATAAACTTGGCATGTTATGTTGGGCTTGGTGGGCTTGGAAACGCACAAAAATGAGGCCTTTTTAGTTTTGAAGCATTTTAAAGGGATTAGGAAGTCAGAAAATATACTAAAAAATATCGAAACGACGTTTTCTCTCTCCCTCTCTCTCTCTTTCTCTTTCTTTCTCTCTCTCTCTCTCTCTCTCTCTCTCTCTCTCTCTCTCTCTCTCTCTCTCTTTCTCTTTCTCTCTCTATGGATCTCTCTGGCTCTCTCTGGCTCTCGCTGGCTCTCTCTCTCTCTCTGGATGTCGCTCTCTCTCTCTCTCTGGCTCTCTCTCTCTCTATCTCTCACATTCTCACGCCGTGTATTTTTTGTAATTAATTCTATGTTTTATTCAAAAATTTACACAAATACCGTAAGACAAAAATTTAACGGGAAAACGAACAAACAATTTGCAACATTAAAAATACCAAAAAACGGGGTTTAGAGTACTGTGATTTGGGTTTAACTTTACTGTTATTAGCATAAATTAAATTACAAAAATTAGCATAAATAAATGTTATATTTTATTGTTGTTATTTGTTGGCCTGTGACACGCGAAATAACCTTTGTTTTTGTTGTTGTGGAATATTTTTGTTGCGAGATCGTCGATATGCAAATTTCTGGGAGTCTGGAGGGACGAGGGCGAGGGATTATGCAAATTGGGTCGTTGGGCATGGTTTTAAAGGGCCCGGGAAGGGGAAAAACGAGCATTTTCGACATGGAGAGTTGCCAAAAAAAAATCATAAATTGCTTCCCAGTGCCTTTAAATCCAAAAAATTGGGGTACATGGCAATTTTAAAGAAACTTGGAAGTCAAAAACAACGTCTTTTTCGATTTGTCAAGCTGCCAAAAAGGCCGAAATATCGATAAAAACCACTACAAAGTTCCTTTAAAAGCAAAAAATGGTGATTTCTAGTTTTAAAGGAACCTGAAAGTCAGAAATGGCGTCATTTTTCGATTTGGAAAGCTGCCAAAACGGTCGAAAAACGCGTAGATCACCTCCGAGTCTCTTAAAACCCCAAAAAACGCGTGATATGGCAATTTTAAAGGGACCGGGAAGTCGGAAACGACGTCGTTTTTCGATTTGGCAAGCTGCCAAAAGGCTCGAAAATTCGATAAAATGACTTCAAAGTTCCTTTAAATCAAAAAAATTGGCTTAGAGCCAAGAAAATCACTGGGCCGAGGGGATGTGGAGGAAATTAAAAAAATTGACTCTCTGCTCAAAGCGATGTGTGGACGACTCTAATTTACAAATAATGGATGGGGCGGGGCTTGGGAGAGGAGGGTACGGTAGCCGGGGCATGTTTTAAACTTTCAATTTAAAGCGAAAAAGACGAGATTTTGGTTTGTTAATCTCTTAAAAAAAATTCCCAAATTCTACCGTACCCCCCTGTCGATTCCGGGGGACGACTTGTACGCACGGGGTTTTTGTCGTGTGGCAGCACTAATTTTGTGTGGGGGGAATAAATAAGTGGGGCTCGCGGGGAGGATTGTGACTAGTAGTGTACTGTAGTATAACAATTTAAAACGAAAAAAATGACAATTCCAAAAACTGACAATCGGGGTGTTTTTAGGAATTTTCCGGAATTTTTCGATATTAATGTATTTTGATTGAATTTCCCAAATAATCTCTGCTATGCCCTTATGATCTAAAAAATGCTAATTTCTGCAAAGGTAGACTAGCAGAGATTTTTTGGGGAACAGGCCTTAAAATCTTAAAATGGAAATTTTCTGAAAATTCCTCAAAAATCTCTGCCAGCCTGCCTTCTTGCAAAATCAGACTAGCAGAGATTCTTCGGGAAACGGCCTCAAAACCTCAAATTCTAAATTTTCTGAAAATCCTTCTTCAAAAATCTCTGCTAGCCTGCTTCATAATTTATAAAATTTTGATTTTTTTATTATTTTTCTAATCTTGAAATCCCTTTAAAAACCCCAAATTTTCCGGAAAACCCCTATAGACGCTCTACAAAAATCAAAAACTTCATTTTAAATAAGAAAAAAAAATGTACTTTTCACGCGGTGTATCCCTCGTCCATCAGCTCGGGCGACAGTTTCCGGATGCACACGTGGCGGAACATGCGGCTGCGGATGTCCGTCGTACTGTAGACGCAGTCAAAGTCCACGCCGCATTTGCACCTGGAAAATGGGGCATTTTTTAAGAGAAAACCATTTTTTATTTTTTAAGGAGGTGCTTTTGCATTATCGGGGGGGGGGGGTAGTATAAATTTTAAGGAGATCTTGCTAATGTTTTTTGCGATTTTTAGGCACAAAAATGTCACAAGTTTTCATGAAAAAAATACCAAAAATATCGATTTTTTGACGAGTTTCGTCGAAATTTTCATTTTATGGATTACTATACAGGACCATTCAAGCCAAAAAATCGCCGCAAAACGAAAAAAAAAATGAATTTTTCGTTAATTTTTGAGGAATTTCAAAATTCAGCATTTTCAGGCCCTTTTGAACCTCATTACAACTTTAAAAGGTGCGTAGGTCCCTTAAAAAGTGCAAAGTTCCGCGGAGCTCCAACCCGACCACCAAAGCTCCCTGCGATCCGCGAAAAGCACGTGCCAAAATCGCAAAAAAGTTTGATAAGATAGGAGGTCGGCAAAAAAATTCCGTCTCAGTACTTTGCATGACTTGGTGGCGGGCAGAAACAGCAGACACACTTTTCTTGGATCAGAAAACTGCGAAATCATGGAGGAGGGTCCGGAGAGAGAGAGAGAGAGCGAGAGAGAGACACACACACGGAGAGAGAGAGAGACAGACAGACAGACAGACAGACAGACAGAGACAGGCAGACGGCGAGATCGCTAAAGCCCTCCCTTCACAACCCCTTTAACGGGTTTTTCTAGCGGATCTCAAGAGTCTATTAATGCATGCGAATGAAGGTTTATATTTGCTAATCGAGTTTTTGTATTTAATTTCTTAATTTTCGCTCATTTTCTACCAGCCGATTACAGCCGCTTCGCGACTGTAATCGACTGGCCTTCGGGCTACCCTCCATATTCTACACCCCCATAGCCGAAATCGCCTTCAAAAACTACCAAAATACCTTCCTGATGGCTTCAGATACCCCCCATGGCTGAAATCCCCTTCAAAAACTACCTAAATACCTTCCTGATGGCTTCAGATACCCCCCATGGCTGAAATCCCCTTCAAAAACTACCTAAATACCTCCCTGATGGCTTCAGATACCTCCCCTAGCCGAAATCCTTTTAAAAAACGAAAATAACGACCGACCGGATGGAATGAGAGAGAAAAAGAAATGAAATCCCCCGTGAAAATTTTCATCCACGAAACGCGCGCCACCTGGCTCACTATGTCCAAAATCACCCCAACCTCCGTCCCCCACCCCTTTTACTAAGGGAAAAACTTTCAAAGTTAATTTTAATAATTTAAACTAAAACTTTTTCGTAATTTTTTTATCAGTTTGGGGGTTTCCGACCACGCTCTATCCGAATCCGAAGAGAGCTAAGCTCTAGCTCTTTTCCCCTTCGAGTTGAATTCGGGACCGGACAGACAGAGACCACAACAAAATTATTATAGTTGATTGTACTTTCCCTAAATCTGAAAAAGTCTCCCGGCACGTAATTCCCACGAGCTATTTCTGGGGCGACGTTGCGGCGGCTCGTTTTTGCCGCCCGATTTAACGGGGTAATTTGCTCGAGGCCAAAGTTTCACAGGGGCCGGCGAGAGAGAGAGAGAGAGTGAGAGAGAGAGAGAGAGAGAGAGAGAGAGAGAGAGGAAGCGGGGCAAAAAAAATAAAATGAGGATTTTATGGGAACCGGGCGGAGATAAAGCCTGGCCAATGGGGGTCTCACCTCTTTGGCGCTTCGTAATTCGCCAGGTCGATTTGCAAAAAATTTCTAGCAGAGATTCTTAGGAAATGGGGAGGCTAGCAGAGATACTTTAGGAAAAACGTACCATGACTTAACCCATGTCATCGGCGATCCGTTCCGCGACGCTCCGTAAAACGAGTAGAAGCCGCAGGGCTCGCGGGGTGTGCAGAGTTGTGCGTCGTCGTCGAATTCTTGCTCCTGGAATAAAAAAATAAAATGCGTTATGTGATATTTTAAATTACTCTGGCAAACTAGCAGAGACCATTGGGGATTTTGAGGCCAGGGCAGGCTAGCAGAGGCTTTTTAGGAAATTGAAGCCAGGCAAGCTAGCAAAGACAATTAGGTAATTTCACGGTGGGCAAGCTAGCAGAGACCATTCAGGAATTTTCCAGATCATAAATCGCCTCATTTCCATTTTAAAGGACCAAGCAACTCAAAAAATTGACCAACCGGAAATAGATCTGGATGCATGCCGGGCTTGACGAATTTGTTCGCCTTGAACGCGTGGGCTGCGAGGAAGGCGAGGAGCAGAAGGAGGGCTGTCCGTAGCGTCAATTGGAGCATTGTGGAGGGGCTGAAAAATGAGGCTTAAAGAGATGATGACACGAAGCGAAGCAAAGCGAGCTAATTCGAAAAATTTATGGTTTTATGGAAAATATGACACATTTTGAATTTTAAGGTGCAGTGACAGGGGAGCTAGCAGAGATCATTTAACGCAAAAATCTCCAAAATCAAGATTTCTCAGAATTCTCGGCATGAAATGTTACATTTTAAAGGTACAGTAACAGGCCCAAGAGCAGAAAACGTTTAAAGCAAAAAAACCGCCATTTTTCACGATTCTGAGAACGAAATGCCGGATTTTAAAGATGAAAAATAAAAGGCAAGAGGATACGGTAATCGCGGTATTTTTATTTTAAAGGGACCGCGACAGCTGCAAATTAAATGTCGAGGGGTTACCGTAATAGTAATATTTTGAATTTTAACGGTACAGTAACAGGTCAGCTAGCAGAGATCCCTTAAAACCAAAACATTCGTGTTTTCCCATTTTAACTTAAAGGGACTGGAGCAGAAACAAAGTAATTGTCGGGCGGTTACGGTAATCCTCAAATCTCGAATTTTAAAGATACATCCACATGGCAGCAAGCAGAGATCCTTTCAGCCACGAAAAATCGTGAATTCCGAATTTCACAGAGAAGCCACTTTCAGTGAGCACCAGAATGTGAATGCCTTCAGGAAATAACAGATAGCGGGAATGGGCACAACCGAAAAATACGGATTAACCCAGGTGGGTGAGGCCGTACAAGAGAAAAAAAGTGTCTCTAAGAGGCCATTTGCATGTTTTGGAAAGGTTTTGGCGGAAAAATGTTGTCAATTGACCTGAGACAATGGGAGACTCGAAAACCTAGTGGAAGCATTAATGAGCGGCCAACAACAGAGACCTTTTAAAGGGACAGCCACACCTAGAATTCGGGCCCGAAATGCTGGGTCATATTTTAAAGGCATTGTGGCGTTAAAAATTCAGTCGAGAAACGTATTCCTTGACAATTTTAAAGGGATGGGGACACCAAAATTCAGTCCGGAAATCCGAGTGTTTGTCATTTTCTGGGATTTTGGAGGGATCGTAACAGCGAAAAAATCAGCCTGGACAGCCGAGTAATTGTCATTTTTGAGATCTCAAAGGGACAGTGAGACCAATATTAATTCCGGAAATCCGCGTAATTGTCGTTTTTCGCATTTTAAAGGGACAGCGACAACAATAATTCAGCCCGGGAAGCCGCGTAGTTGCCATTTTTAAAATTTGAACGGGAGAGTGACAACAAAAAATTCAGCGCGGAAAGCCGCGTAGTTGTCATTTTTGGAGTTATCAAGGAAGATTGCCCGTAAAAATTCAGCTCCGAAAGCTGAATACTTGTCAGTTTTGAGATTTTAAAGGGACAATGACACCAAAATTCAGCTCGGAAAGCTACGCAATTGTCAATTTTCGGCTTTTAAAGGGACAGGGACAGCAAAAATTCATCTCCGAAAAGTGTGTTTTGACGTTTTACAGGAAGAGTTAAAGCAAAAAATCCTTCATATTGTCATTTTCAATATTTTAAGGAATCATAACTACTATTTTCAGGAACGATCAGCACCTGAAACACCTCAAAAAACGTGAAACTACCGCACCTCAATCAGGTGGTACGGTAGCCGAGAAATCCCATGGGGCCCCAAGAATAGCCCCTCAATAATGGCCAATCCCTGAGGGGCCCATTACGATCTATTAATGGACGGTCATCGTGCGAAAGCGAGGGAGGCGTTTTTATACAAAGGAGAGGGTGGAAAGAGGATGGCCGCCGGAAATTCGAGGCTCAAATGGAACAGTTGGCGTACCCTCGCTCTCTCTCTCTCTCTCCCTCTCTCTCGCTCTATCTATCTCTCACTCTCTCGCTTTTCCTTCAAACTCCCCAGAATAGAATAGTCCAAAACTCAACGTATTTTAGGGCCGTTTTAGTACAGCGCATTCCGAATGACGAAAGAGTCGTGGGAATGGGCCGGAAAAGTACAAAATTCAGGGTTGAACGTCGAATTTTTGCGCTAGGCAGGCTAGCAGAGATTCTTTAGGAAGGGGCAGGCTAGCGGAGATTCTTTAGGCAACCCAGAAAGTCAGCCTGACGTCAAAGCTGCGAATTTCAGAGCCTGAACTTTGTCGAAATTCACCTGGAACTCTAAATTTAAAACCCAGTAAAATATTCCGGAAAGAGCACACCGGATGGATTTTCGGGATTGAACCTAAAAGCCAACAAGAAACTAGAGCACCTGCTTGGAAAAATGTCTAAAATAGCTTGGCGGCATCAAACTTGAAATTCGGTATTTTTCGGGTAGGGGTAGGCTAGCGAGATTCCTTAGAAAAGGGCAGGCTAGCAGAGATTGTTTAGGAAATGAGGAAGCTAGCAGAGCTTCTTTAGGAAAGGATCTCGGCTTGCCGGTCCCTTTAAAATGGCTTAAAATGGTTGAGAATGACGAAAAATTAGTATACTCTAGCGCCTCATCGACAAATTCTAAAAATGACGCCTCCCCCTCAGCACTTCCCCATTCAGAGCCGATTCTAAAGACCGGGCCGGCCCGGTTCTCAGATTTCGGAATAAATTTGCACTTTTTTCAGCTGCTGCCCCCCGAATGCCCCCCGGGCTATAAAAGGGCCAAGAAAAGGGGGCGAGGGCCCACCCACCCAGGTGGAATCTCTGAAACGAGAGAGAGAGAGAGAGAGAGAGAGAGAGAGCGACAGCAAAAAGGGCGGGCGGTACGGGGTGGAACGAACGAGATACGATATGTGATCGGGGCATCTTTTAGAATGCGCACTTTCCGGGAAAACCTAAATTAGAATGGAGCTAAAGATCCATGTTAGGCCAGCAACTTCCTAAAGAATCTCTGCTAGCCTGCCCTTTCCTAAAGAATCGCTGCTAGGCTGCCTCAGAAATTTCTAGAATATTCAGATGACGTCGACCTAGGAATAATGACTAGCTGGCCCCAGACGAAATGAGCAAATAGGCCTAAAATGGGTAGTGGGCGTAGGGGAGATGCAGAGCGCAAAAAATAATTGGGTTTTTGCCAAAGGTCTTGGCGGGACCATTGAGAGAAGGGTGGTCAAGGTGCCCAAAATAGCGTGAACAAAAACAAAACCGCGGTTTAAAGGGACTGGAAAGGCAAAAAAAAACGAAAAAGCAAAAAAGCCTAATCGATTTGTATCGGCTAGAATCCATAAATCGAATTCTTCAAGAATCGCTGCTAGTTGGCCCCCCTGTGGCTAAGATAATTCAACAAAATCAATTCCAATTCGTTGTAAGAATTCGAGTGCCGAGATAAGGCTCAAAAATCGACATCCATACAGTAGTTATTTTTAGAAGAACTAACGACGCAAAAATTCCAAAAATTCGTATCCAGCTGTTCACAGTAGCCAGCGTGCGATTGGCTGAAATTATAAAATCAGCCGGCCGGCCGCCGGCTGCTGTCTTCAGAATAGGGCAAAAGAGTGAGAGGGAGAGTGAGAGAGAGCGAGAGAGAGATAGAGAGAGCGAGAGAGACAGAGTGAGAGAGAGCGAGAGAGCGAGCGAGAGAGAGAGTAGGGCTGTAAATAGCTGACCTCTTCTGCCCACCGCCCAGCCCTCCTCTGCTATAAAAAAGGCGCGAACCCTTTTTTGGCGAAGCTGCTCGCGGTATTATCTTATCGCAGGGCGGACGGCCGGAAAGCAGAAGCCTGATCCATGGAATCTACAGCCAGAACGCCGAGGAGGAGAGGGGAGCAGCAAGTCACAGCATCATAAATAGCGTATTTTAAAGGGGTCAAACCACCATTTAAAAAGTGGTTATATTATGAAAAGACATTTTTGAGTCACTTGATTTTTACGGCGACTACACGAGTGAAAAAAAACGAAAAACTGAATCGATTGACGGAAACGGATGGCACCAGGAGAAGAACAACGTTTACAGGGAGTTCTGTCAGCCTATCGGTTTAAAGGTATCAGGAAGGCACACGTAGATCAAGGTTCACTACACTTAGAGAGGGGGAGAGAGAGAGAGAGAGAGAGAGAGAGAGAGAGAGAGAAGGAGAGAGAGAACCAGACGCATCAAATGCCACTCCTAGGGGCATCAATCAGCGAGGTGGGCTTTATGCTATGCTATCTCGATTTTAAAACCGGCTTTATGCTAAATTTATACGGCCTTCCTGATCCCTTTAAAGGGGGCGGTGACAGTTAGCGAAATGTCGAAAAACAAGCAACCAACTCCCAAAACCGGAAAACCCAGAAAAATTATTGAGAAAATCCCATAAACAAAAAGAAACCACAATTTCGCCGCCAAACTTGCGCGTGGTTTTCGAATTTGAAGCGAAGCTCGAAAGAAAACTGTCACGATCATTTAATCCATCCAGCGCACCAGGGCGAGCAAGCGATGGGTTTTGCGGAGACCTAGAATTCCTCTGAATACCAGGTTCAATGGCCATCTAGCAGAGATTTTTTAAGACCCAAAAACTCAACAAGTTCGTCTTCGCGTCCAAAAAGAGCCACCGTAACCCCAGAACCCTCCGTTTTATACGGCATTTTTGGCCAAAACACACACAGCACTAATCAGATCGACGCCCAGCCATTTTTTGCAGCGCCGAACCGTGTGGAAACTGTTTTTTCGTTCTGCAACGAGCAGAACCCAGCACTCGTGATGTGCGCTAGTATCGGTCTCTCTCTCTCTCTCTCTCTCTCTCTCGCTCTCTCTCTACCTCTGCCTACGCTTCTGATAAGTTATTTGCGAAAAACAGGAAAAGATATGAAAATGTCTCAAAACAAAAGGGTTACTCCGGCCCCCGGCCCTACACAACGCACCTAAAAACGGGTTAATCGGCTAACCGGATTATCGCCCTCCCCGGCGAAGCCAACATTTTGGAGAAGGTGTTCAGCACCGATCTTTGAAGGATGTTTTTGGCCTTTAGAAATGTTGAAAATAAACATTTCAGGTCTGCAGGAGTTATTTAGGTGAGGGTATGCTAGAGTGATTCTTTAGGACAGGGAAGCTAGCAGAGATCCTTTAGGAACGGG